GTGAAACAGTGAAGAGCATCTCTATGTGCGGTTTCTAGCTAACCATTTTCTTATTTTCAGTTTTAAAATTGATTATTTTACTGCCATTTTTTTCCATTTGTGTTATTCAGCTTTTTGAAGGAAAACTCAATTTAGTTCTAGTTAAAGACTGGTTAAACACATAGAATTTTCTTTTATTTGCATTTTATTTTAGATGGTTTTTTTAACCGGATATTTGCGTTTTTCTTTCAAAATCTGCCTAGAGGGCCAAAATTCTGATTTTTCGTCTATTTTTCCAATATTAATTTTATAGTTTTCACATTAATCAAATCGAAATTGTGTGTATGTCTGGAGTTTAATGCCGAAGTCAAAGATTCACTTTTCCTTCGTATTCCATTTGTGGTCGAAATGTGTTTGTATTCGACCGAATTTCCTTGAAAAGAGAAAAGAACGCACAAGATTTACAATTCGAATTTCAAAATTCAATTTATGTCAACACCATTTTTTTCCGTTTTTTTCTGCTGCTATTGTCTTCCCACAAAAATGCAGAGCACATCTGTCCCATTCAATTTTTGATATCGTTAGTTTTAAATTAGAAAATTTAAACAAATATGTATGGCTATTCTTATGATACGAATGTGGTCCGATAATGGTGTATTAAGTCCGTTCGGGTTATTATCAACCAACATTTATTCGTTTATCAGATTTTTGATAATTTGAGCGAGTACACACACACACACACACACACACTTCTAATCTTCTTTTCTTGTGTGCCCTTTATGCACACGTTATTAGATCAAAAAGTTGATGCTTCTGATAATCATCGTCGCGAGCAAATCCCCCCAATTGCATATTGTGTCCTATGACAATTTTGCGCATCTTATCGCGCATCCTTCATGATTAATAACAACAATTCGCTCAACAAATGTGCATCCACGGCTAATTGGATTACGGTAGTCGCCCCGTTTTCGTGTGTTTTGGTCGTCGTCGTCGTCGTCGTCTGTTTCAATAAAAAAAGTGCGCCGCCTTGTTTCTTTGCACTTTATCAATTAATTTCATCGAAAAAAAAGTCTGAAAGTGCACTTGATCGCGTAGATCAACAGACGAAATGCGCACAAACACACAATTTCGCGTCAAGACTCACCAACACGTTTCTTTTGATTCTGTTTTTTGTTTTCATTTTTTGTTTGCCAATGCCGCCTAGAATGATGGCGATTTTCCGAGTGAATGAGTGCCTACAAAGTGAGTAACAGCAAGTGATAAAAATAGTTTCGAAGCAAACACACACACACACATACGATGACCTTTTGATATGTAGATGGCCGATCTTGTGAACTGGTCGCACTTAATACTAGGCTTCTTGTGTCACGTTGCGTACATTCGAGATTCCTCTCGTTCCTCCGATTGTTTGTTGATTTTAACCCCCGCCAATGAATGCCAGTTCAAAGCTGGGCGCGGCCATTTTATTTTTCGAACATTTCTTGCAAGAGTTTTTGCGGGATTCCTGTGTAAACTGAAAACATCCATCAGATTGATAGATGAATTCGCAATCAGAAATTCTTTGTGGCTCAAGCAACAAAAAGCCACACTTCGAGTAGTGGAAGTTTGTTGATTTTAACGAATTATCCGCTCTATTTCATGCAAACATTTTCATGCATTTTTGCGTTGAATTTTTCACATTTTTTGTTGCGAGTTTGCGTAAATGGCTTCTAGTCTCAATATAGTTGAAAAAGTTGGTTTCTCAAACACGATAACATCGCAAAAATCAGTAAAAACTTAGCATTAAAAACATTTCTGAATCTTCCACATTTCCTCGTTTTTTAAGAAAATTCCTAAAAAAAAATTCTTTAAAATGCATTTTTATAGGCACCATGGATTTTTTAGATTACTTTTTTTTTTATATAATAGCTTTACATTTGTTCAGTAAGTTATTCCATATAATAATTAAAATCTGAAAATAAACTGATGGAAATTCAAAAATCATCTAAAAAAAAAAACAGAATTTTCCGTTTTTTGGCCAGCTTTCTATGTCGCTTGACGAAGGCTTTCCTTCGAGCAAGCTTAGGAATTTATCGCCAATGCTAAATGAGTTTTAAAAAATAAATGAGTTGAAGACATCCGACTACTAGAAAATTAGGTCACGTAACTTACGTGTTGATTTTCACGTGGGGAAATTGTTACGTTTGAGATTGTCCGTGTGAAGTACACGTCATCTCGAGACCGTTTAGAGTCGGCATCCGGCGACTGCTGTACGCGGGTAGATTTACGCACATGCGCCTTGAAATGGTCTCGCCACGGGTGAACACTTATTTCGGTGTTTTCAGCTGCTTATTTTTCTTTATGAGTTTGGTATTTCCTTGAATTTCTATTGTCATTCGAATAATTTTCGAACCGACCATTATAATGCAAAATAATCAGCTAGTCCGCGACAGACCAGGCAACTCGTAAGTCTACCCACATACAGCCGTCATCCGACGCCGACTATATTACAGTTAGCCAATTTTTCACGGAAGCGCGATTTCGACAATATTTCCTCATTTGTCCAAATAGTTTCAGAAAATGAGGCGAAGAATTAAAGTTGAATCTAAAAATAGGAAATTAGCAAAAATCGACCGACTGTTTGAAAAATATCCAAAAAAAATGTTCCCCATTTGGCAATTTTGGCATTCACCAAAGCGATATCTCGTAGTGCAAAACCCTTGCAAACTTTCATTTGCGACATCTTGAAGGAAGTTTTCGAGTTGTAGCAGACAGGAATGCAAGCGTTTCAACATTGTGTCCAATTTCCGCCGCAATTTCAAACCAACTTCGCACTCGAATATCTTGTGCTATATCGAATTTAGTTGGTGTTCTTTCGATGACTAATCTGAACATCATTTTCGCGGATTTGCATACCAAACATTTCAAATAAATCGAATCCGATTAGGAATTCCTTAATCAACTACTTCTCATTATTCTACAACTACGGTAGGTCGATGACGAAGATTTTGGCGGAAAAAAGTGCAACGGATTATCTATTTATTATTTATCTTGATGTATTCAAGCCGTATAATTGAAATAAAAGGACAAAATTTGATTACAGAAAATGTCAATTGAATATTAAGTCATGTCTATGTTCATTTGTATCGGGTCCAACATCCCATTTGTGTGACCGGTGAATTCATCCATTTGGGCCCATATTTGGCCACATTAAATCTCATTAGCTTTCTTTTCTAAAGACGTCGTGCGTAATCGGTCCGGTCCAAAAATTGAAATGGTGTCATTTATTCTCATACGAGCCACGTGGCTCAATTCGATTATTTCTTCACCATAAGGCGCCTGAAAATGATTGCTGTATGTACCGATTTCCATGCATACCCATTGACTCATCAAATTCTTTCCAATAGAATGCATTTCTGATTTTATCCTCATATTCACTCATTCCTCGTATGATTCAAAGTGTTTTTTTTTTGCTAAAGTTACATTTGTACATCAAACTGCGATTTTTGCAAAAAAAATTTTTGAGGAAAAATTTTGAAAAATAGAGAAAAAACATGGAAAAATTTAAATGCAAAACATTTTTCTGAATTGAAATTTTGTCTCTTTTTAATTGCTCTTTCACGTAGAAGTCTTTGCGTGCGCCTTTAACTTATCAATTTTCCAAGATTCATATTTTGTGAAATTCCGATTTTTTCAATTCTTAAACATCGCGTGCGAGATTAAGTCGCTGAATTAAAAAAAAAATTTTGCAATAAAAAATGAATTGATAGAATGTTTTGCAAAGTCTACTAGCATTAATTATATTCATCGAAACGGTGATATTGCGATTAAAAGCCCATCAGGTTTTGGGATATCCCACGGCAAAGAATCGTGGCGCGAAACGATTCGAAAATTTTGACCCTCGACGTTTTCGTTGACTCATCGATGAAATATATTAACCGCTTAAATCTTCCCAATAAACAATTTGATTTTTTGCCATCTGCATACACAAATACAAAATCAACAAAATTGATGAGGATCAAATTTTTTTCAGGATTCCCCTTTCAATCTGAAAAAAAAATTTGCTCTGCAAATTTGAAAAATTGAGTTTTCTGCTAGAAATCCATGTCTCTCGTTCGTTCAAATTTCCCAAAAATCCGAAAATCCTCGAGCATGTCTGCGTGCGTGTCTATTTTTTGCTTCTTCACAACATTCAAATTTGTCGGCGCACTCTAAACTCCGCCCATTTCTCGACAACAAATTGGGCGTGTCCATTTACAGTATTCATTCATTTCCTCTTCACGTCATTGTTCGTTTTTTTTTGTTTGATGAGAGGGTCCGACGACGACGACGACGACACACTTATTTCTTTCGGCTCTTCGAATGCTCATCATGAAGATGTATTTATGTATGTAGTCCATAAAAAGACACATCAATTCTATCCATTTTTCTTGTGCCTCGTTCGTTCCTGCTTCTGCATCAGTTTTCCCCCCATCTTTTCCATCTTCTTCTGTTTCTTCTTCTTTTCTTTCTTGTGTTTTTTTTTTGTGTGTGTGTATGTGTTGTTCTTCGTGCCCCGCATTCCTCATTGCTGCTCCTCTAGTTTTTTTTTTGCGACTTCCTCCTATTCTTCGGTCTTTCGACTTCTCGATTGCAACCCCCGAGCGCAATTTTTGATGAAAGACGGAAAATAGCGATGAAGGAAATGAGTCAAACTGCCCGCATACACACTCGTCTGAGTGAGCCCGGGAGCTGGAGCAGCTTGCGGGGTGTCGGCTCTCCGCTCGCACCTTGCTCCCATTTCCAAAATAACCTATTTGATGTCCTCACATTTATCACAATTTCGCTTTTCATCTTATGCGACTCTCCCTCTGCCACTTTCGCTTCTCTTATACTCGTTTTTTTTTCTTGCAGAAGCCGACTACCGGCCATGTGAATTTGGTACAAGGAATGACTGGTCCATAGTTTCTTCCCGATTCCCAACCTCGATTATTCTTTTTTTCACATTTTCTTAGTTATTATTAATATTCTTGTTGTTAACTATACGTAAATTAAATTGGAAAATGAGTTCCGCCACTCATTCGACAATCAATGGAATCGAGGACAAGGACAATCCCGATGAGTTCGATGCCCTCTATGTCGATCAGGTGAGCTCGTTTAATCCAGTGAAACTCGAAATTCTGTAAAAAAAAGGCTACAGTACGATTATTAAATTTACTAAATTCCATTCAAAATCCCAATTTTTAAATTCTTCGTTTTCCGTTCATATTTTAACTCTGCAGTTAAAAATACACACAGATTAAAATTTTTGCTCTGAGAAAATCATTAATTAAATAAAATTAAATTTTTTTTGATAATTGTTTGAAAATCATGTTTTCTTGAGACTACCGGAATTTTATCGTATTCGATCGCTCATTGCAATTTGATTTCAATGTAGTCGTATTATCGACATATTGTCCATTCTTCGCTTCACATACGATGATTTTCGAAAAAAAAAAACAATGCATTTTGAACCTAAACCGCTTTGTTTCGGACCTTAAATTACCAATACAAATGCGTTTTGGTTCATGTTTATATATTTAAAAAAACGCGCTCATTGAATAATTTTGGTAACTTAGATTTTTGAATTTAATAATTCGAGTACCGCGCACTACGTACTTCGGTTAATCTGTCGATCGAACTTGTAATTTACACGAAGAGAGATCCCAATTTAATTTTTCACAAAAATTCCAGGATTGCTGGAATTTTCAAAAAAAAAAGTAAATATATATGGTAGAAAGCCACACGAATTCGATTATTTTTTAAATATTTGATCCAATTTTTGAATTGAATCAATTGAATTCGTTTCTTTTGAAGAAGTCGCGCAGAGGGATTCTTGTGTGGAACCTGCGCCACCTCGAAACGACATTCCGAGTAATTGCTCGAATCGTTATGAAATTTGTACATGAAATTAATCATTTACACTTTTCAAACTCCAATTTTTAAACATTTTCATTTAGTCGTCCGGTGAGTATATTGGGGTAGATTTTTTCCTTCGAGGACTGCTCAAATTGGTATTTTCACGTGAACCGTTTATCTTTTCTTTGTCAAATACCAGTTTGTCGGTGCGAGACCACAACGCCCGTAAATCTCGTTGAGTACATCAGTCGCCGGACGCCGACTATATGTGTTTTTAGACTGATTTTGGAATCTCCTTCCTGCATACATTTATTGTCGAGTGCAGAAGACTTCCGGGTTGCAGGAAAAACAGATTTGATCTACGCCATTTGACTGCGTGTCAAGCCTATGTAAAACTACAGTATACATCAAAGGAGCATGCAACAAATTGTTAATTTCGCGACAAGAAACAAAACTGTTTTTCTTTGGCCAAAATTCTTTGAATTTCCGACAGTTGCCTGTATTCGACAATAATTATTTTTTAATTTAACAATTGAAATTTATATGAAAATTGATGTGAAATTATATTTAAAAAACGAAAATTCTCAAGTTGATTTTCATATTTATCATTTTTTTTTTGCCTAGACTCAATAAATTACTCAGCGCTTTCGTAGCGAGCTCGTCAATTTTTCTCATTTCGTTCTCACCAAAAATTTTGCTAACGGTTCAAAGATCTTTTAATATCGTTTTTGTTATAATCAGCAATATCACGAATCGGCGATCCTCTATTTATTGCGCTAACATCAAAAGGGATGACTGTATTCAAGAATTTCGGCGAAAATCCAATCCGCTATAAAAATGTTTGATGGAATTTGATCAACGGAAATGTTTCGTCGATCTTTTCATTTTTTTTGTACCGAATATCCGCAATTTCTCAAGAAATGTTTGAGAATTCAAATCAAATTCCATTCTCGCTATTTTCGGAAAATCATTCAAAATAACGACATGACAATTGTCGAAAACCTCTGGTAAATGATTCCTAGGCGTATTTCGAAAAATCATAATTTCTTCATCGTATAAAATAAAATTAAAAGCGTTAATGCGAATTGTATAAGATCGTATACGATTCTGATGAATGGTTTGTATACGTAAAAAATCCCAATGTATATGAAGAATTCAGTCCAAATTTATCGAGAATTAAAAAAAATAATGATGCACTATTTCACAGATAAAAAAATGCCAGATGATTTTTTTGAATAAAGTGAGTTATTTTTAGTTAGGTCGTTGACTCTGATCGGAATAAATTCAAAGATAATTTTACATGATTTTCGATCAGTTCGCCGAAAATGTTCGTCAAAATACATAATAAATAGTCCGCCCCATGAATTATCATAGTTGTCAATATCATCGCGTCACACGAATTTTCAGCACACGATTGGCGCGCCGAAATTCAGTATGGCGCTTCGTCGACTCAAAAAATCCATGAATAACCGTATCCGATGGGTGATTTTCGGCTTGACATGGTTACAGGTAGGATTCAAAAAATGAACCACTTCACACTGACGCATTGCACACACACAGCACACAACACACAACACAAATATAAACATTTTCATTTATTGTCGTTCCAGTTGGGAAGCGTGATGAACTGCGTCGATGTGTTCTCGTTCTCAATGGTTTATATGGAGAAGAATGCGACTATCAATAAGGAGGTCGGTCATTTGTTGCAAAATCTACTTGAATAAACATGGTGTTTGAGGTTTTTCGCGCGCGGTTTCGATTTTGACCTCACCAAAAAATCGCATAATTTCAAAACTCGGGGGGTTCTCGATTAATTCTCAAATCATTTTTGAAAATCGAATGAGAAACCGAAAAAAGAGATTTGGAGACGAATGCATTAAAATGAACAAGATTCGAAATCGCTTATTCTAAGAAGAAACGTTCGCAATTTTCAGGTATACATTTACACGAACGAAGAGAAATCGACGTTGATCTCGGCGATGGCAATCGGCTCATTAATCGGAATGTATCCGCAGAATCTATTCATGCAACGCTACGGAGCTCGTCCGGTGCTCACAACGGCCAGTATTCTATGCGCAATTTGCACAGTATTTCTTCCTTGGGCTCTCGACACGCATTTCTATGTGGCGCTGGTATTTAGGATATGTCAAGTAGCAAATAAAAATCCCCTCCCCCCCCCCAAATGTGATCTGTTTCAATTCCAGGGAATTCTCTATAGCGCAGATTTTGGAGTCGTCGGATACGTGTGTTCAAAATGGTCGCCGTTGTCGGAGGTAAAACGAAAAATGTTCGATCTGCGGACACTTTTCGGGTTGCAGGTCGGATTGTCACTGGCCACTTTAAGTGGATTCACCGCCTGTCGTGCAGTCGTACAGTTGCCGCTTGCAGGATGGGTACGTCATTGTTTATTCCAAAAATCGAACTTCGAATTTTCGGAATTCCGGATTAATAAAAAAATATATGTGATCGTTTGACATGGATTTGCATCAATTTGCCATTTTCCGTCAAATAGAACCGCACAAGAAATGCACGTGACTCGAATTTTTCAGACTGTCAGCACATTCGGCTGGCGAAGCATTTACTACATTCTTTCATTGATCCTCGTCTTCACAACAACCCTTTGGTTTCTGTTTTACAGGTTTTTTTTAATTCTGAAAAGCGCAAAGCAATTGAATTCTTTGTAGAGATGATCCTCAAAAACACTCAATCATCTCAAGCAGCGAACATCAAAAAATCTTGCATGGCCGCAAAAAAGAAGCGAATAAACTCAGTGTTCCGTATAAGGTAATCGTTTTTTTTTTCTTTCCTTTTTCTCGGCTTATCAGACTTTGTTGCATTTGATTTTCAAATTGAAATTTCTTCAGAAAATCGTGTCCGAGGCGTCAGTATGGGCGGTGTGGTTGGCCGGATTCGCCGATATCTTCGCTTCGTTCGTTTTTCTCGTTTATGGTGCTCAATACTACAAATATCTGGGTCTGAGTGCTCAAGCGAATGCGTGGTTCAATTCAGTCAAAGGCCTTCTGTTCATTGGCGTTCGAATATTCGCGGGTCTCGCGTCGGATCGGATTCGATTCCTTAGCGAAAAGTCGAAATTGCGGTTGTTCAACACGATTTCGCTGCAAATCCCCGCGATATTCCTCATCGTCGTCACATTTCTGCCGCGCGATCTACCATATCTCCATATTTTCTTCATTACATTGTATCAGGCTTCATTCGGGTTTAATTGTGGAGGATTTTACAAGGGAGCAGCCTTAATATCAAGGTAGGAAATTGAACCCAGATTGTTTTAAAAGATAGTAGATCAAAATGGGTTTAACATTTTTGAATTGCGCTTACATTTGTCGAACTTTTCATTTTTTTTTCTCGACAATCCATTCTGGAGAAACGGCGGATTGTTTCCCACCATCAAAATCTCCGTCGTTTCTCTCGCACGAAGAGCTGTCGGTTTCGAATGACACATCGTTGAAGGGAAATTCAATTTCGTGAAATCAGTGTAAATCGACGATATTGTAAATTTACGCACTGGCGAAGAATATTAAATGCGCGTAGGTAAAATGCAGAGTACGCAAACACGCACTCCCGAGACACTTTCAAATGTGTGCAAAATTACGTTAGTGTGTAAACAGACAAAACAGAAACAAGAACGAAACCAGCGCGTTTGAAGGTCTTCTTCTTCTTCTAGTTTCAATTTTTCATTCGAAAAAATTAAATTTTACAAAAATGCTTAAGAAACATCCGATTGTGTATACTTTACTTTAGATTTAGGGGTCTAATAAGATTATGTATGGGTTAAAGGTGCACACCGCGACCTCCTTTAAGATCGTTTGACATTTAGCCAGTTTTCTGCAGTCGCGCGACGTCGACAAAAACTTTGCTGCACCTTACTGGAATTCTCAATTTGCAGACAATTCTCGTATGTTGTCATCGGGTATATTCAATTGTTCAAGTCATTGGCGACTTTAATCGAACCCTTATTGTTTTCATTACTGGTTTTGGCGACAAGTGAAGATGGTAAATGTCAAAAAAAAGAATTGAAAACCAACATTTCAAAAATTTCAGAAGAATTCACCTGGACCAATTATTTCATGTTGCATGCCGTTATTTTAACATTCGCCAATTTGTTCTTCGTGTTTTTCGTTCAATCGGAACCCGCGCGATTCGTCATGTCTTCCGATCTTGATCTTGATCGTCGAAAACCATGCGAATCTTCAACCAACTGAATCATTATAGCTTCTAGTTAGAAATTTGCGTTATGATTTACTTGGACAACTTTTCCTTTTTTTCGAAAACCAAATTCCAAAAATGTCGAAAATTAAAACTTTTTCTACGATTTCCCTTTTGCGTGCTGGTAAACTCTTACGAAAATTTTGTCGGGTAAATAAATATTTCATGAAGCTTTGTCAGTTTGCAATGCCGTTGTTTAATAATTTTCGTGCTAAATAAAACCGTTGTTTTTTATACTGATTCGCATTGGAGCACTTATTGCTTCTATTTTGTTTAAAATTTTAAATCTGTACACTTAGGTTTCAATATTTGGGTTTTCAATATTCAAACAACAAGTGAACTTCGTCTTAAATCTTTTAATTTCTATTAAGTTTAAAACGGTCTGAAAGGTGCAACATAAATAAATCGATTAATCTCAAAAGGTGACAAAAATTTCTGCACGTAGGAACCAAAGCTCAAAATTTTAATTTAAACACAATTGGTTCAATTAAAGCTACCCGTTTTCATCTTTTAGCAAACACAGGTTTCACTCACCAATTTCACAAATATTCGATGAATTTATTTTGGATAAAACAGTGTTTTCGTTTTGACTACAATAAATTTATTTTGAAATTTCAGAACAATAGAATAATTTCGAGGGCGGAAAAATCGTTCTGTTCCGAATAAAACAGGAATTAAAAGATAAAGACGAAAAGGGGGATTGAATACGGGACACCAAAAATGGGTGCGATTAACAACACACTACAATGATAACAGAAATGTAGAGATCTTAATTAGCCGGTTGGTAAATCAAATTTCTACCGTGATCTCTGAGTACATTCCGTTTCCATCACAAAATGTTGATTCGCATTGTAATAATAAATCGTTAATCAAATATAGTGGCGAGCCTGTAAATTTACCTTTATTCATAGTTCATACACGTAGAACTAACCGGATTATTACCGAAAAATTAGAAAACTTGAGGAAATGATACGGCAAGGATTTTATCTATAAAATCACTGTATTTAACAGTAGCAGAAGAGCAGACATACTTAATTGTCCAATTCTCCGGCTGGTTCCTGGTCGTCAGTTGTAGCATCAGAAGTCCAGAGAGTAAGATTGTCACGGAGAAGTTGCATAATCAAGGTAGAGTCCTTGTATGAGTCCTCGTTCAACGTGTCAAGCTCAGCAATGGCATCATCGAAGGCCTGGAAGCATATTATTTACACCCATGCTTCGACGAGCATTTTTCACCTGCTTAGCCAACTGACAAGCCTTGTCTGGAGCATTCAAGATCTCGTAGTAGAATACCGAGAAGTTGAGAGCAAGACCAAGACGAATTGGATGAGTTGGTTGCATCTTTTCCTTGGCAATATCAAAGGCTTCCTAGAAATTCATTTCAATAACTAATTTGTTCTACCAATTAACAAAACCTGATAAGCCTTCTGAGATTTCTCAACGACGGCCTGTCTGTCCTCAGACGCGACCTCGGCGAGATAGCGGTAGTAGTCTCCCTTCATCTTGAGATAGAAAACTTTGGATTCGGCAGCCTGAGCCTTTGGAATGAGGAAATCATCAAGAAGCTTGAGAACATCTTGACATATGTCATTGAGCTCCTTCTCGACCTAAACTTCCGAAATGCATATATTTCAGTATCTCATAGCGACAACCTTGAGTCTGTATTCCTTAGCAAGTTGTTGTTTCTTCTCAGATCCCTCAGTTTTTTGTTCAATCGAAGAGATGACTCTCCACGACGAACGGCGAGCTCCAACGACGTTTTTGTAAGCAACAGAGAGCAAATTGCGCTCTTCGTTGGATAATTCCGAGCCTTGTTCGGTAACCTTGACAATATAATAATAGATTATTTTGGAAAATTAAAAACAACCTTCTTCATTGAAGCGGCCATGTCATCATAACGCTCGGCCTGCTCGGCAAGTTTGGCGCGTTGAACCAACTCTTCCATACTCTCAGACATGGCGTTTGCGAGCAAGTTTTCTGAACGATTATTATGGTGAAATGAGCACCAGATACAAGAGGCAAGAGAGTTATCGGTCACGTCATATGACAATAAATGAAACGTGCGGAGACAAACTGCTCTCACAAATTTGAAAACCGCCAAAACATTTCGAAAGTATGAGTGAAGGAAAATCGATTCGCCCAGCAAAGCGAGCGGGAAGAGTGAGCGAGTGCTGGTCGTTGTGCGTCTGCGTGTCTGGCTGTGTGCGTCGAATAACAACAAGAACAAATGTGGGCATCAGCAACCTCCTTGCTTAACAATTATGAAATTCGGCCGAACGCTGTTGAACGGCGAGAAGTGACAATGAATGAGAGAATTTGATTGATGCAAATGTCGCAAAAGAATTGAAGGACAAATATAGGTGTGGAGTGAACAACGATAATCATTGTTATTGTTTTGAAAGAAAATTGTGAAATGCATTCCATGTCACCTGATAGCATCATCGATACAAAGGCGCAGTGTCATGGCAAGGAAATAAAACCAAATTCATTGCGGCCTAAATCGAATTTTAAATAAGTTCGCTGCATTTTAGGCTAGGCTTATATTAAATTCTGCAGTTAGCAACAAAATGAATTCGAAAAATAAAAAATCATCAAACTAATCTAATGAAAACGAGGAAATAGGCGGCAAAACTATGAGTCAAACGGAAAAACACAAAATCGAAAACACTTTCAAATGAAAAAATTGGCGGGCTGCGCTTCGCTGCAGGCGCACACGGACACATGTCTACTATGCGCCTTTAATCCATCGTACGCGGCAATTCAAATTTTCAAATGGAAAATTTTCAATTAATTTGGAAATGCGTTGAGACATCATAAATAAAAATAAGTCATTTGTATGGAATTCAAGTGAACACATAACAACGTCAGAAATGTTTTCATAAAATGCGTCAGTCGTCGAAAATTTTCGCTTTTGCGATTTTTACGCACTTTTTTAATTTTTTTATTTCAAATATATTACAATCGCAAAAAACGAATACCCTGTGCAGATTACGGTGAGTTTAATCGTAGGTTATCCATAGTACGGCTCCTGAATTACCAATGCATAAATTCAAATTTGAATTGTTGCCTTTATATAAGTGCGATGGTCCACAGTTATGTAAGGCGCTCGTTTCTTTTGCGATGGTACTCTGGTATCTCAAAATCAATCTTATCCGACAATTTTACAAATCCGATCGATTTGATTCCGGAGCCACATTTTGTCGGGTCCGATTAGTTTTGAGTTATCAGAAATATACGAAGGATGCATTACATAATTTATTTATACCAAATCATAAAAATGGCGAAATAACTGAGAACCCTATGAAACATTCATTTAATTAATTCAATTGGATTTATCTCATGTCAATAATTGGTATGTCTATTAATTAGACCTTGCTGGCGTAAAAAGGGTATTATTTCTTATAGGCAAATAAAGAAAACTGACTGCAATGTCGTATGATACGAAAATGTGTACAGGGTGTCATTTAAGTTCCCGCACAACTTTGAAGACGTATATTTCTGAAACTAAAAGTCCAAATCAAACGAGACTCGAAATATTTTTTTCTATAGTATAACAAATAATTATCTTTTAACTCTTTTCGATTCGGTCTTCTTTCGCAGCTATGACTTCACGGAGACGCTTCGGGTAGGATGTGACTGTGGTACGCAGGTGTTCGATGGAAAGATTGTCCCATTCCGCCAGTAATGTCTTCTTCAGAGCCTCTATACTTGAGTGGGGTTTTGCGTTGACCTTCTCCTGCAAGACCCCATCACGGAAAAGTCAAGCGGTTTCGGGTCTGGGGAGCGATCAGGCCATTCGGATGACTTGATGAAGTCGGGAAAATGGGTCTGGCACCACTCCTGAGTAGTTTTGGCAGTGTGGGCGGGTGCTCCGTCCTGTTGAAAGACCCATTTCTGCCCACCGAAATGCGTTTGGGTACAGGGCATCACATGATTCTCCAAAATGTCCCGAACGTAGACTTCTCTGTTCATTTTCACCCCCTGATTCACGAAAACCAGGGGGCACTTCCCGGTTGAGCAGATGGCACCGAAAACCATCACACTGGCAGGATGTGAGGCTGGATGAATTGTTCTTCCTTTCTCAGAAGCTTGCTGGAATGTCTGGGCAAATACTCAATGGTTTTGTGAGTTGAATGCCGCCTCCACAGTGAACAGCTTCTCATCGGAGAAGACAGTGACGAGGTGTTCTCCAGACCGCGTGCGAGCAAGAAGTCGTTTTGCTTTTTCGAAGCGTCTCTGCTTTCTGACGGCCGATAGAATTGCCGCCTTTTGGACACGATATGGGGTCAGTCGAAGCTTCGTTTTGACGATTTTTTCCATAGCGAAGATGCTCATTCCCATGTCTGACGCCATCGTTCTCATGCTCCTGTGGGGTTTTCGCCTGATCCTCGATTTAACGTCGTTGATCTTCTGAGGAGTGATTACTGAGACGAGTCTTCCTTGTCTGGGACGGTCACTGGTCGTATTTAGCTCCTTGAATCGTTTGATAGTGTCATAAACCGTTCTACGAGGCACACCGACCCGTTGAATGATGTCTCTCGGGCTCACATTTTGCTTATGAAATTCGATAATGGAAGCACGATGGATATTAGCCTTCGCCATTTCTCGGAAACACATCCGAATGAGGCGAAACATGGAAAGTAAGTAAAATGTACCTTGTTCAATAAAAATAAATTGTATTGGTGCACGAAAAGTGCGACAGCCAAGCTCTTCATGGCGTCAAACTTTTGTGCGGGAACTTAAATGACACCCTGTATATCATTAAGAAGGCAGTGTTTCATTGGCTTCATCATTAGTGTCCTTTTACTGATAAAGAGAGTCTTTTCGACATGTTAAACTCACGAAAACTTGTACCAGACAGTGTCATGCATGATTGTTGAGAGAGGTTGCAAACCGAATTTCTGGTTACGTCGACAACGAAAATGGGGAAGGGGGGGGGACCGACCGCCTCTCTCGTTTATAAATGGCACAGTGTAGATGTTGGCTCTCGTGTTAATTTGAACACCTTCATAGGCCTCTCCATCTCATCGTCGCGCTCACAATTGTGCTCGTTTCGGCTCATAAAAATTAAACGAATATCCATAGAAACACCACATTTGCTCTCCGGAGCACGCACATGTGCGATCGGTCAGAGGGCCTTTCGACCAGAAGCCCCGAGCACGCACACCACACACATTATTTTGTTGACTGCGCAAGACTGCTGCCGAAATCGAAGAGGACAAGAAGAGTGTTGACGAAAAGGCAATCCGAAGGGGCTAATATCAAATGTGCATTGCATGCCCAACACAACAACAACAACAACGACAAACACATAGTAGGATTACCGTTAACGGGACGAAAATAATGTTAGCTTGAAAGATTTCACCAGAATTGGTTGATTAATTTGGGACTTGCAATAAGCGAAGCAATCTAGAATCGTTTGATTTGAGGGGTTTTAATTGCGATAAGGTTTTTTTTTTGGCCGAAAACACGTCTCGTGTGCAAATGGGGTTATCAGTGCTACACTGCCGATGATTCGCTAAAAAAACTTGATGCGATTACTTGGGTCAACGCAATGAGAATTCTCTTGCTGTAAATTTCGAACCTTGCATGTTCGATTACATTGATAGCTTTTGGAAAGACGACTTATTAAGCACTTCTCACGATGAACACAGTTCGAGGGTAATCGAGAATTTTGTACGCAAAGTTGTTGTCTAAATATGAGTGTTTTGCTTTGGTATCATTTCGAAATAATTTTCTTTGTCATTGTAAATTATAAATACATCCTGGGTCATCTGCTCAGCGGAGTCATCGGAAATCCTTTCGTGTATTTCCAACCTTCAATATGAATATTATTAATTCAACATCCTTTTTATTTGAATGTCCTGTGACTCAGAGCAAACCCAGCTGTTTGAAACAATTAACAATTTCAAATCTCGTTTGAATCTCACTTATTCATTAAATGGAATTTTTCACAAAAAAATGTAAAATCATCAATAAATGTGCATTTTTTCACAACCCTGCATTGGTAAAATAGGAAAAGAGGTCTCGATATGCGCCTTTAACCTATCCTTATACATAAGTCCGTAAATCTACACTTTTGGTTTTGTGCCAAGACCATTGTCGTTGTTTTTTTGACATACAGCCAATTTTTCACGTCGCCAATAAGCTGTTGCGATTAAGGTCAGCATCAGAAAGAGAAGTAATGAGAAACATGATTCGGATTGAACTGATTGAAAAAGATCCATCGATATTAACAAGTCGTTGAGTGTTTAGAAAATGTGGGTTGCTCATTGCATTTATTCCAGTACAAAGAATATCATTTTACGCGAGCATGCCTTTATAATTTCTCAACTTTTTAATTTTCCTATAGTTTTTTTTTTTCACACTAATTAGCTTCCTTTCAATACTTTTGATAAAACTTGAAAGAAAAAACAATAGAGAGAAGCAGAGTAAGCCGGTTGAAATGCACATACATACATACACAGATACAACCAAAAAAGGAATAAAATCGTGAGAAATATTCAATAGAAAATTTCTATGACAACCGCATAGTTCACACCTCATTGCTTTTCATGTTGCATTCATTTTTTAAATCAACGTTTCATTCGAACAGGTTTTTTGAAACTGATTCGCAAATTTTTGTAGTTTTGCCCAGGATTTCGGTTTGAAATGATATCTTGTTGAACTTAATTAATTTTTAAAAAAGTAGATAATGAAAATGTTGCAAAAACCAGTCAATATGAAATAGTAGAACACGGCTCTCATTCTTATATACACACTAGAGAAACCTGACATGAAAACAGCAATAAACAAATAAAGAGGTCTCTAGGTTTACACCAATTCATTCCTACCAATTTTTTTTCAACATATTCCTAATTGGATCAATTCTATGAATAATTATTGTGGCTTCATTAGAAAAATAAAATTTTCTCATTATTATGATAATCGCTAACAATCGTATATTAATGACTCGAGAAAATAGGAAAAATTTTAATAAAAACGAAAATGCTGAAAATTTAAATCATTCTTTTCGTTAAAACATTTCGTCGTGAAAAAAAAAAAGAAAACGATTGAAAACTATAAATAAAAAAACGTAGTAATTGTATTTCTTTTCCGCCAGAATAGATAATTGTAGATGATATGTGGGGCATTTTCTACACACATAATTCATATGACCCATCAACAATTCTCATGTAATTTATAGCCGCTTCTTCTCTCCTACAGTGCCGCATAACTATATTTAATTGTTTCATTTTTTGTTGAAAAACTTTCGCAATTGATTCGAAATGAATAAATAAATGAAACCAGATCACTTCACAATGTATTTTTTGTATATTTTATAAATTGAATATCCAAAACCATACGAATATGTGAGTATGCGCGGGATTTAAAATAATTAATGTGTTAATGATTAAAAATAAAAAATAGAATTAACTTTCCCATTAGAGAATATTTGCTTGCGCCGATGTTCTCAACGTTCACATCAGCATCATGAGTGCACTTCAATACAATTTTTTTTCATAAGGCGTTTCCTTCGTTTCCAATTTATAATTCTATTCAATTCCATTTTCTTGATGTCACTTAATTGAAAACAATCAATTTTTGTGCCAACAATTATCGAACGCTTGTCTTCAGATTCAGCTCTGTTTATTGTTTTTCTCATGTCTTCTTTTAATACAACACACATCAATTAAAAATCACAATTTGTACCAAATTTCCGTTTTTTATTAAATTTCTTTATCGAATATTAAATTTTCAACTTTTTTTTAATAACGACAAGGAGAGAATGAAGATCAGGCTTGCTGAAATTAGACATTCCTGTTAACCGATGAAATTCAAAAGTTTTCCATTCCAATATTTTTCATTGATGCCTTCAGCTGAATTCAGTTTCTTTAAATTGTTTTAGACTGAATAAGATAATTTTTTTCGATCGTCGATCTAACCTATAAAGTCGTCAGTCTATATTTTATTCAAACTCATATGTATATGTATTTAACAAGAGTGTTTTCTTCTCTCATAATTGGCACAACAAACTTTCCTCAAATTACCGACCGCAATATTTCATTTTTGTTCGGCAGAGAGCTATGACGACATTAGATTTTATTTTTAGAACAAATCTCCAACTAATTGGTCTTTTTTATGCAAAAATCTTTGATATATTTTAATTAAAAATTGGCCGACGACGCCCATCTCAAGTTGGATAAAAATTTGATTTTTAAACATTTCGAACTACTGCTATAAGATAATTTTTTCGAAAAAAAAAGAACTAAGAAAATATACAAATCATCAATCCTAAAAAATCAAACTCTCAAAATGTTTTCCTTGTCAAAAATGTAGGGCGAAATCGGGAACAATGGCGAGTGTGATATCACTTTCGAATTCGGTTGTTCTAATCACTTCCATTGTGTCAAAACACTCGCTCGATGAGCTCATTTTTTCAACATCAAAGCTCAGAGAACCAAACCGAGAAAATGAGCAGCAAACTCGAGTTGGGCTCATTCAATCGATCCATAATGACAAATGTCAATGAAAATACTAGTTTGCTTCGTTTTGTTCGCTTCATCATTTGCCACACACTTCTTAATGCTTCGCCTATTTGTTCATTTTGACCGTGTTCGAATCTGTCTGTCGAAAACCGCACAACGTTTGCGTGACTTTTTATCTTTGGTCAAGCTTTTTCTTCGAAACGTCTCGACCGTGTGCTCATGCTTGTGTATCATGGCTCCATGTTGCGGAACATTCATAATTTGCCATCCGCCTCGTCTCCCGTAAAACAATATTGGCATGGAGAGCAAACAGAAATGCGAATTGCTCTTGAAAAATAGTTCCTTCGTTTCTTCGCGTTTTCCTCATACAACACTTATTTCCTGGAAATTCTTTTGTCTTGTTTTTTTCTTTGACCGAATAGTTCATTTATTACCGTAATTATGGACCTTATTTCCTGTTGATGAGCATAATAACAAAAAAAGTGCGATGTTTGAGATATCGCCAAATTGTCGTCCTATCGCAGAACACACCTCATTCAAATCATGGTTTGCATTTTAGGAATTAGTATATACCGTATATCGAATTTAAACATTTGATTTTGGTTGAAATTTAATTATCGCTGATTGCTGTTATTAATCAGCGTTTTCAAATTTCAATTCTTTTAAATGAAATTAATGTTTAAAGAAACCAAATCCAATCAACGAATTTCCGAAAAATGCATTCATAATTAAAATTTCATTTTGGGAATGTCGTCCATTTCTCGGAATATTCTACGAAATCTTAACTTCAAACCTTTTCCACTATTTTTTTTCAACATATCATAATAATAGCAAATCGTACTACATTCATAAACACACATGTTTTGTTTGCTTCTTTCGAACAAGACCGTTCTCATGTTTTATAATGAAAAAAAAAACGCGAAACATTCGCCATGTGCGTGTTTTCATTCATTCGGTTATTACAGACACCCATGACAGTTGTGGCAAACGAATCGTCTTCGCAGGAGCCACCGAAGCGACAAGAGCATGACCAGCCTGCCAACGAGCCGCAACAACCCACCCTATTCCAACGGATTTGTTGTTGTTGTTGCTCGTTCAAACAAGATAAAGAGCCGCCGGTGCAATTACTTCGAAGTATGATCTCTTTTATGGAATATACTTATGAGAACGGATTTCTAGGCGGGTCACTAACCTATTCGCAGCCACAACCATCCACACAAGCAGTGATCTCGGCAGCGAATGAGTCAATAAATGATGTCGACGACATAAATTTAGGTTTTAATTTATAAGGAAAACGAAAAAAAACCAAACGATTTGATGGTTCATTATAGAACTTCGAACTGCCCCGAAGAAAGAAAATGCTGACAGCATTAATCTGAATGACATCTTGATGGAAAGAGTTATTAATCATACTGAAGATGATCGAACGGAAGTCGTTGTTGAGGTAATAATTCTTTGCTCATATTCTGCCAGCCTTTCAAATCTCGTAATAGGATTAATAAAACGCAATTTCTTTATGATGACCAACACCTTGATGTGTTTGTTCTATCACATCATTCTATTTTTAGACCAAGTTTCAACTCATTGTTGAAAATTACTCATTGTTTCAAACAAAAGAGAAAATGTCTGTTGCTTCACCATTTTTTTTAATTTTCGAAAATTCTTATCATTTTCAATATTGCACAGGATGTCGTTTCAATTTCCACCGATGTTGTTCAAGAAATCAACGAAGATGATTTGAGCAACGCAATCAAGAATACACATGAAAATAATGAAGGTCCCAAAGTTCTTCGGGCTCGTCCTGCCATTACCAGAGTCTACGAATCTATTTCAATCCATTCTGAAGACGATGGTAGAATTTAAGAATTATTCAACATCTTGAAAGTTTATTTAGAAGACGTTGATCCAAAAATGTCAGTTATCGAGTTTATCAAAAGTGAAGCAACTCGTAGTAAAACACCGGAAGTCGTGGAAGAATTAGTCGAATCACCGACGACGCGACAGCCTGCGATTCCTGCTGGAACCGCGTCTGAAATATCTGATTCCGAAGGTTGATCAGGAAAATCCACTCTAATTTTATTTTTTCTGTATTCAGAAGAACTTGAGATTCCATCAAAATCTCCTGGATTGGATATGATTTCCACTGTGAGTACAGCTCGTTCGAATCAACAACTCGACGAATTCAAAGAGTTGAACTCTGGAGATGAACTTCCCGAGATTGAAGATGATGGAGAAGTTCAGCAACCACCACCGCCACTTCCAGCTAATCCACCGCCAAGATTGTCGTCGACAAACATGTATGCACACGCTGATTCGGAATCGGATTCTGACGATGAAGCAAGCGGTGAAGCCCAGCCGGTTAACGCAATTGGGCTCATCAAAATGCAACCAATCAACTTTGCAAATTCTCCAACAGGAGATCAAGACAATTATGAAGAGGACGAAGTATCTGAGGAATCATTGTCATCTGCACCTTCCCCAACAAGTAGTTCTAGTATGGAAAAAGAAAATGACAATCGTGTGACAAGAATATCAGTGAAAAGCGATGGAAGAGCTGAAGTTCGATCGTTTGTTCAAATTACAATCAAAAATCTATTCAATTCAGATTCATTCGCCACGGAGTCCAATTACTGTGAGTTTAGACGCAGATCGCCAAATAACAGACGATGAATTCTCAGAAAAACTTATATAATAACATTCATACATTCGTATAAATAAATTCTATTTCTGTGCCGTGTAAAATACAATTTCTGGGATTTGTCCATCTTCGACACTTGTTCCGTTGTTGTTAACAGCAGCGTACGTGAATTGGAATGTTACGTCAGCTTCCGTATGAACAATTCGACGAAGACCTTTGGTTCCGTAATACGTGTCCGGACCCTGAAAATCAGTTATTTTGGAAGATGAATAAAATTATGAAAAATACCATCACACACGCTGATGCTATGTAAGTGACTGCTGGAAGAATTTCCACTGGCTCTTTGAACAACACTCTACACGGGGTCGGTGTACCATCACAAACAAAACTGGTGTCATGCTCAGTTAAAGTCTTTCCAGTTCCACAGTGGATTAACTTGATTTGGACTTTGTACTGATGTGGACCATGAATGGATCCATACAATCCCAATCCAATAACAAAAATACTGCGATCAACAGTAAATCTGAAAATGACTTCCGAAATTTTCAAAAGAAGCTATATAATAGTACTTGATACGATCCGGCGTTCCACAATAGCCCCAACGATTCTCATGCCTTTGGAATCTCGATACCACTTTTTCAGTTGATGACATGTAGCATCTTGGGGTGTCTGAGTATACTAATTCCGGGCGATCTGAAGGATTGACGGCAAGATATTTAAAGATCTGCGTCATTTCTCTATCGGATAGAAGACTTTCCGGCTCTGTATGAGAATTTTAGTTATAATTTCCACTTCCATTGGCTTCTTACCAACGTGCAGCGCAAATTCGTCAATTTTCATCAAAGGGAATCTGATAAGTTGTAGCGCATTTCCAAGAACAACTCGTTTATTTTCCGCTGTGCATGGAACATTTCGACGTTCGCATTCTGCTTTCGCCCATCGAACCACCGCCTGAAAACGTGAAAATTTGAATAACCATTTAATTATTTCTAGATATTAATTAGATTCGATATTAACTGGAACCCAAAAACTCGAAATAATGAGCCGAAATATAGTCAATAAAGCTATGATGGGGGCAGCGAAACGAATAATGATGACACGACCGAGTCATTATAAGGTAAAAATAAAACATTCAATGGAAGAAAGGTCGTCGATCAGAAATACATTTTTCATTTATAAAAAGTGCTTCACTTTTGTTATCAAATTTCGAGGGCTCTCAGACCGTATTTTATTTACCTGTGAGGACTGTGTATCCTATTGAAACAAATATGCGATCGGAGATTGATTAAATATCAATTCCAGGTCAATTACTCCATAAACGCTTGGATGGATGTTCACAATCAAGCGGATAGCTCAAAAGCGACAAAACAATGGGAGATGCTGAAGTCTACAATTGAAAAATGCGGAGCAAATGTAGAAGTGATGGAATCGGAGGTTGAACGAGGACCTCTTTTTCAAGAAAATTGTTGATTAATAGGATGCGAAGCACTATCCAGACATAGTATTCTGCGCAAACGCTGGAATTATCCGAGGCAGAAAAGTCTATCTTTCCCACTTTGCATATCCCGAACGCGCCGGTGAATTCGTCTATTATCAAAGATTTTTCGAATCCATTGGTTACGAAACATTTTACAATAAAGAACTTGTGCACGAAGGTACAAATCGAATCCATTGACGATTTTGACACTTTCGAATTCCAGGCGCTGGTGATGCTCTTTGGTGTAGTAAAGGAATGAACACATTAGTGAGCGGAGTGGGGCCACGTTCAGATCACCGCTCGTGTTCCGATATTTCTAAGAATTTGCTTATATCAAAAGACGACGAATTTCAAGTAGTAGCAGCGAGGCTTATAGATCCTAGGTAATATTCACAATGAAAATCTCAAAAAGAAAATTGATAGGTTTTATCACATCGACACATGTTTTTGTCCTTTGAATGAGAATCAAGCTTTATCGTATTTGCCTGCATTTGATCCAGTTTCGCAGAATAATATTCAAAATTATACTGATATTGTTCAAGTATATTTTTGCTGGTTGTTATGAAAAAATTTGTGATTTACAGGTTCCCGAAGAAGATGCAAAGAAATTTGCGTGCAACGCTGTCGTCGTTGGGAAACACGTGATTCTACATCAAGGATCCGAAACAACAATGAAACTGTTGGAGAAGAACGGTTTTGAGCCTCATCCGATTGACATGTCGGAATTTATAAAAGCCGGCGGTTCGGCGAAATGTTGCACACTGCGTTTAGAATAAAATCATTACCTGGAATAAATGAATTTCTCGAACTCGCAGAGAGTTTCTATTCAGAACGTCGCAAAGTGTCGCCAAATCGATATCGGTGAACCCGTCAGCGTTGATTGCTTCAAGAGTATTTTTGTCAATGAGGTCGAGACAAAGCTGCTCCAGTTGAGGTTCTTCGAAAAGTTTCGCCTGAATAAATAATAGGTAATAACTTTCTAATTTTGATGCTTGAAGTACCTGCGATAGAAGCATAAATGCATTGTCAGCTTCAAGACTCTGTTTCAAGAATTCCACGCAAGCTGTCTCCATTGCAGGAACCGCATACTTTTTCGCCGTGTATAGCGTCGTCATTACGGATTCTGGACCAATAGACACCTCATCAGAATACAAAAATTTGAGTAAGGTTAAGAATGCCGATGGTTCTACATCGGGTAGCTCGATTTCCAACGGTGTGTCCGTATTTCTCGGTGTCAGTCCGCCATTGAACATCGCGTCGAACACCACACTACCAATAGAAAGCACAAACTTATGGGCGGGAATAGTCTAAACATCAATTGACAAAAAATATTTTGTTTTTTGTTTCTGATACCTGCTTGCACTGATCATTTCCAACAACAAAATAAACATCGGCGAGAGTCTCATTGCAGTACATATGAGCGATTCGTTCGCGCAAATTCTTTTTTTCTGCTTGCCATCCGAGTGTCGATTGAGATGATGGATCAAACTGACTTTGACAAATTTCTCAAGAAAAAATGTTTTAAAGATTTTTCAAAATAAAATATCATATAATTTCGAAAAGCAACTAATATGCATAAAACTCACAGAATTACGGAATTTCAAGATACATTTAAATATTATGATAACATGCAAATTAAAAAAAACTCAAAAAAACTGGTTTTTTGCCCAATTTGAACATGGTTTTTAGTTTTTCTTAACGGGGTTTTTGAGTTTTCTGCGAAATCTATAAAGTTAAACTATTTGCAAAATTTATTTCAAGTAATACTAAAATCTTACTTTTTTTATTGGACAGAGTTGATGAGACCGCGTAGTTTTGCGGCTTCCTTCCGATCGCAATCAAATTATTTGTTGAAGTGATAATCAAGTTTCGATTAACTAAATAATATTTCACTACAATGTTTACGAGTGAACAAAGATATTTACCAGGCAAAATATTAACGGCCTTCGATGGTGACAATGCTACAAGTTTGTCAGTGGACATTTTTGAATTCGACGTTGTAGCTGGTTCGGCATTATCCTCAAAAGGACGAACAAGTAAAGCAGCTGAATTAATTTTTTATTTTCTTATTTCTTCACCATTTAATTACCATAACATTCTTCTAATGTTGGTTCTCTTCGTCTAAAAGGCAAATCAAGTGGGACTGTAGGGGATGCCGCTTGTCGGCTTGTCGATGGTTGAGACGAGCTACTGGACGGCTCTTAAGAGTATTTTACATAAAATAAAGAAATGCAAAAGAAGAATATTTCAATGCAGAAAAAAATATATAATTTTTCATTTTCTCTAATTTTTTCATTTTTTTTTTTAATTTACTCTTCATTGGCCCCTAAACGTGATTTGTATTTAATTTGAAACCTTCAGCAGAATTTCCTTTTTTGATGTTTGCCGGAGGCATTTCGGAATACAATTGTCCTTGGGCAGCCATATCCTCTTCACGTTCATTTTGTTTGTGATGACTTATATTTGCTGCATTTTTTCTTGACGGGTATAATTGATTTTCCCTTAAATTATTCTACTTGTTTAATTAAATAATAAAAAATAATATCTACACATGCTACTCGTATTTTGGCGAATTTTATAAATAAAAGTTACCCTTGAAAAAGGCTTTCTTCTGAATTTTTTGATGTTGATGGTTCTTCTTCATCTTCCCACATCATCGAATTTGAAGCCTAAACACGAAAATTCAGGAGAAAATTAGTAGGAAAAACTACATTTTTATCCATTACGGTGTCCTTTTCAAAGATAAAGAGCCGCCGGTGCAATTACTTCGAAGTATGATCTCTTTTATGGAATATACTTATGAGAACGGATTTCTAGGCGGGTCACTAACCTATTCGCAGCCACAACCATCCACACAAGCAGTGATCTCGGCAGCGAATGAGTCAATAAATGATGTCGACGACATAAATTTAGGTTCTAATTTATAAGGAAAACGAAAAAAAACCAAACGATTTGATGGTTCATTATAGAACTTCGAACTGCCCCGAAGAAAGAAAATGCTGACAGCATTAATCTGAATGACATCTTGATGGAAAGAGTTATTAATCATACTGAAGATGATCGAACGGAAGTCGTTGTTGAGGTAATAATTCTTTGCTCATATTCTGCCAGCCTTTCAAATCTCGTAATAGGATTAATAAAACGCAATTTCTTTATGATGACCAACACCTTGATGTGTTTGTTCTATCACATCATTCTATTTTTAGACCAAGTTTCAACTCATTGTTGAAAATTACTCATTGTTTCAAACAAAAGAGAAAATGTCTGTTGCTTCACCATTTTTTTTAATTTTCGAAAATTCTTATCATTTTCAATATTGCACAGGATGTCGTTTCAATTTCCACCGATGTTGTTCAAGAAATCAACGAAGATGATTTGAGCAACGCAATCAAGAATACACATGAAAATAATGAAGGTCCCAAAGTTCTTCGGGCTCGTCCTGCCATTACCAGAGTCTACGAATCTATTTCAATCCATTCTGAAGACGATGGTAGAATTTAAGAATTATTCAACATCTTGAAAGTTTATTTAGAAGACGTTGATCCAAAAATGTCAGTTATCGAGTTTATCAAAAGTGAAGCAACTCGTAGTAAAACACCGGAAGTCGTGGAAGAATTAGTCGAATCACCGACGACGCGACAGCCTGCGATTCCTGCTGGAACCGCGTCTGAAATATCTGATTCCGAAGGTTGATCAGGAAAATCCACTCTAATTTTATTTTTTCTGTATTCAGAAGAACTTGAGATTCCATCAAAATCTCCTGGATTGGATATGATTTCCACTGTGAGTACAGCTCGTTCGAATCAACAACTCGACGAATTCAAAGAGTTGAACTCTGGAGATGAACTTCCCGAGATTGAAGATGATGGAGAAGTTCAGCAACCACCACCGCCACTTCCAGCTAATCCACCGCCAAGATTGTCGTCGACAAACATGTATGCACACGCTGATTCGGAATCGGATTCTGACGATGAAGCAAGCGGTGAAGCCCAGCCGGTTAACGCAATTGGGCTCATCAAAATGCAACCAATCAACTTTGCAAATTCTCCAACAGGAGATCAAGACAATTATGAAGAGGACGAAGTATCTGAGGAATCATTGTCATCTGCACCTTCCCCAACAAGTAGTTCTAGTATGGAAAAAGAAAATGACAATCGTGTGACAAGAATATCAGTGAAAAGCGATGGAAGAGCTGAAGTTCGATCGTTTGTTCAAATTACAATCAAAAATCTATTCAATTCAGATTCATTCGCCACGGAGTCCAATTACTGTGAGTTTAGACGCAGATCGCCAAATAACAGACGATGAATTCTCAGAAAAACTTATATAATAACATTCATACATTCGTATAAATAAATTCTATTTCTGTGCCGTGTAAAATACAATTTCTGGGATTTGTCCATCTTCGACACTTGTTCCGTTGTTGTTAACAGCAGCGTACGTGAATTGGAATGTTACGTCAGCTTCCGTATGAACAATTCGACGAAGACCTTTGGTTCCGTAATACGTGTCCGGACCCTGAAAATCAGTTATTTTGGAAGATGAATAAAATTATGAAAAATACCATCACACACGCTGATGCTATGTAAGTGACTGCTGGAAGAATTTCCACTGGCTCTTTGAACAACACTCTACACGGGGTCGGTGTACCATCACAAACAAAACTGGTGTCATGCTCAGTTAAAGTCTTTCCAGTTCCACAGTGGATTAACTTGATTTGGACTTTGTACTGATGTGGACCATGAATGGATCCATACAATCCCAATCCAATAACAAAAATACTGCGATCAACAGTAAATCTGAAAATGACTTCCGAAATTTTCAAAAGAAGCTATATAATAGTACTTGATACGATCCGGCGTTCCACAATAGCCCCAACGATTCTCATGCCTTTGGAATCTCGATACCACTTTTTCAGTTGATGACATGTAGCATCTTGGGGTGTCTGAGTATACTAATTCCGGGCGATCTGAAGGATTGACGGCAAGATATTTAAAGATCTGCGTCATTTCTCTATCGGATAGAAGACTTTCCGGCTCTGTATGAGAATTTTAGTTATAATTTCCACTTCCATTGGCTTCTTACCAACGTGCAGCGCAAATTCGTCAATTTTCATCAAAGGGAATCTGATAAGTTGTAGCGCATTTCCAAGAACAACTCGTTTATTTTCCGCTGTGCATGGAACATTTCGACGTTCGCATTCTGCTTTCGCCCATCGAACCACCGCCTGAAAACGTGAAAATTTGAATAACCATTTAATTATTTCTAGATATTAATTAGATTCGATATTAACTGGAACCCAAAAACTCGAAATAATGAGCCGAAATATAGTCAATAAAGCTATGATGGGGGCAGCGAAACGAATAATGATGACACGACCGAGTCATTATAAGGTAAAAATAAAACATTCAATGGAAGAAAGGTCGTCGATCAGAAATACATTTTTCATTTATAAAAAGTGCTTCACTTTTGTTATCAAATTTCGAGGGCTCTCAGACCGTATTTTATTTACCTGTGAGGACTGTGTATCCTATTGAAACAAATATGCGATCGGAGATTGATTAAATATCAATTCCAGGTCAATTACTCCATAAACGCTTGGATGGATGTTCACAATCAAGCGGATAGCTCAAAAGCGACAAAACAATGGGAGATGCTGAAGTCTACAATTGAAAAATGCGGAGCAAATGTAGAAGTGATGGAATCGGAGGTTGAACGAGGACCTCTTTTTCAAGAAAATTGTTGATTAATAGGATGCGAAGCACTATCCAGACATAGTATTCTGCGCAAACGCTGGAATTATCCGAGGCAGAAAAGTCTATCTTTCCCACTTTGCATATCCCGAACGCGCCGGTGAATTCGTCTATTATCAAAGATTTTTCGAATCCATTGGTTACGAAACATTTTACAATAAAGAACTTGTGCACGAAGGTACAAATCGAATCCATTGACGATTTTGACACTTTCGAATTCCAGGCGCTGGTGATGCTCTTTGGTGTAGTAAAGGAATGAACACATTAGTGAGCGGAGTGGGGCCACGTTCAGATCACCGCTCGTGTTCCGATATTTCTAAGAATTTGCTTATATCAAAAGACGACGAATTTCAAGTAGTAGCAGCGAGGCTTATAGATCCTAGGTAATATTCACAATGAAAATCTCAAAAAGAAAATTGATAGGTTTTATCACATCGACACATGTTTTTGTCCTTTGAATGAGAATCAAGCTTTATCGTATTTGCCTGCATTTGATCCAGTTTCGCAGAATAATATTCAAAATTATACTGATATTGTTCAAGTATATTTTTGCTGGTTGTTATGAAAAAATTTGTGATTTACAGGTTCCCGAAGAAGATGCAAAGAAATTTGCGTGCAACGCTGTCGTCGTTGGGAAACACGTGATTCTACATCAAGGATCCGAAACAACAATGAAACTGTTGGAGAAGAACGGTTTTGAGCCTCATCCGATTGACATGTCGGAATTTATAAAAGCCGGCGGTTCGGCGAAATGTTGCACACTGCGTTTAGAATAAAATCATTACCTGGAATAAATGAATTTCTCGAACTCGCAGAGAGTTTCTATTCAGAACGTCGCAAAGTGTCGCCAAATCGATATCGGTGAACCCGTCAGCGTTGATTGCTTCAAGAGTATTTTTGTCAATGAGGTCGAGACAAAGCTGCTCCAGTTGAGGTTCTTCGAAAAGTTTCGCCTGAATAAATAATAGGTAATAACTTTCTAATTTTGATGCTTGAAGTACCTGCGATAGAAGCATAAATGCATTGTCAGCTTCAAGACTCTGTTTCAAGAATTCCACGCAAGCTGTCTCCATTGCAGGAACCGCATACTTTTTCGCCGTGTATAGCGTCGTCATTACGGATTCTGGACCAATAGACACCTCATCAGAATACAAAAATTTGAGTAAGGTTAAGAATGCCGATGGTTCTACATCGGGTAGCTCGATTTCCAACGGTGTGTCCGTATTTCTCGGTGTCAGTCCGCCATTGAACATCGCGTCGAACACCACACTACCAATAGAAAGCACAAACTTATGGGCGGGAATAGTCTAAACATCAATTGACAAAAAATATTTTGTTTTTTGTTTCTGATACCTGCTTGCACTGATCATTTCCAACAACAAAATAAACATCGGCGAGAGTCTCATTGCAGTACATATGAGCGATTCGTTCGCGCAAATTCTTTTTTTCTGCTTGCCATCCGAGTGTCGATTGAGATGATGGATCAAACTGACTTTGACAAATTTCTCAAGAAAAAATGTTTTAAAGATTTTTCAAAATAAAATATCATATAATTTCGAAAAGCAACTAATATGCATAAAACTCACAGAATTACGGAATTTCAAGATACATTTAAATATTATGATAACATGCAAATTAAAAAAAACTCAAAAAAACTGGTTTTTTGCCCAATTTGAACATGGTTTTTAGTTTTTCTTAACGGGGTTTTTGAGTTTTCTGCGAAATCTATAAAGTTAAACTATTTGCAAAATTTATTTCAAGTAATACTAAAATCTTACTTTTTTTATTGGACAGAGTTGATGAGACCGCGTAGTTTTGCGGCTTCCTTCCGATCGCAATCAAATTATTTGTTGAAGTGATAATCAAGTTTCGATTAACTAAATAATATTTCACTACAATGTTTACGAGTGAACAAAGATATTTACCAGGCAAAATATTAACGGCCTTCGATGGTGACAATGCTACAAGTTTGTCAGTGGACATTTTTGAATTCGACGTTGTAGCTGGTTCGGCATTATCCTCAAAAGGACGAACAAGTAAAGCAGCTGAATTAATTTTTTATTTTCTTATTTCTTCACCATTTAATTACCATAACATTCTTCTAATGTTGGTTCTCTTCGTCTAAAAGGCAAATCAAGTGGGACTGTAGGGGATGCCGCTTGTCGGCTTGTCGATGGTTGAGACGAGCTACTGGACGGCTCTTAAGAGTATTTTACATAAAATAAAGAAATGCAAAAGAAGAATATTTCAATGCAGAAAAAAATATATAATTTTTCATTTTCTCTAATTTTTTCATTTTTTTTTTAAATTTACTCTTCATTGGCCCCTAAACGTGATTTGTATTTAATTTGAAACCTTCAGCAGAATTTCCTTTTTTGATGTTTGCCGGAGGCATTTCGGAATACAATTGTCCTTGGGCAGCCATATCCTCTTCACGTTCATTTTGTTTGTGATGACTTATATTTGCTGCATTTTTTCTTGACGGGTATAATTGATTTTCCCTTAAATTATTCTACTTGTTTAATTAAATAATAAAAAATAATATCTACACATGCTACTCGTATTTTGGCGAATTTTATAAATAAAAGTTACCCTTGAAAAAGGCTTTCTTCTGAATTTTTTGATGTTGATGGTTCTTCTTCATCTTCCCACATCATCGAATTTGAAGCCTAAACACGAAAATTCAGGAGAAAATTAGTAGGAAAAACTACATTTTTATCCATTACGGTGTCCTTTTCAACAACCATATTTTGGTTTAAACGATTTGCACATGGCCGGCTGAGTATCTTTGCGAGCGCAACTGCTCTCCGTCTGTCTGTAAATCTCTGCGTCTCCATATATCTGTGAATGAATTAAATACAAACCACGGTTTTGTCTGAGAAAAGAACACAAATTCAGGGATTTAGAAGAGCGCAGCAATCTGAAGAATGTAGAGGATCACAGAATTAAAGTATTCAAAAGAAATAATAGATGAAAAGGATAAAATATTTCAAACTCTCGGACAATCGATAAAGTACTCTGAAGACATAAAAAGATTAAATGAAAGAGTGATTTTTGATGATAATGCAATGCAGATCAACGATGCTGTTTACATTGTAACTCCTGGCTAGATATGTAATGGTTGAAACCCATTTTTCAAGCGGTGCAGAATAAAACCATTTTATGAAACCACCTTAAGAAAAAACTTATAAACTCAAAGTCAAGAATAGTTTAGTATTTGGTGGCACTTCGTTTTAAGGTAATAACACTTAAAAAAAACACGGTCCGGCATAGATTTGAGAAGGTTTGAAACATATTGGATCGATTTAGATTTGAATTTCTGCTCTAACGTCATCCACTCGACTTCGATTTCGGTTTTGAGCTTACAAACGATCCCGAATTTTCTTCCTTTGCTATAGAAGCGCCGTACTGACTCCCCTCAGATGTTCTTCATTTGATTCAAATCAGGAGAACATACTGATCATTCAAGAATTTCCACACTGTGAGACCTCCTCGAAAATTGAGGGAAAAGTTGTCGACGCATGTTTTAAATGGTTCTAATTTTTTTGAGATATTTCAGCAACTATTTTTTTTATAAATCCAAGGAAAGCGAAAGTAATAATTTTTAGAAATCTCTTTTTCGAAATTCATAAGAAGTATGCGTACACAAAACGAAAATCTACACAATTTGTATACAGTATCATGCGCATTTAATTCCATCCGTTATTTGTCTCTTTTTTATCCGTTTTTTGTCCATTTTCCTGAACGGTTATTCGTAATCTATTTTTCGTCTATTTATTAGAGGTTTTCATCTGTTTTTTCCGCTATCTTTTTTTCTTTTATTTTTAGCACGTTTTCAACTATTTTTCTGGCCCATCTATTTTTCATCTATCATTCAACCGTTTTTCATCTACTGGAATTATGCAGTCCCATTTAAATTCTTTGCTGCCACCCGACATTTCAAAATGCTCCAAAATAGAAAAATAGGGAATACTGCAAGTTTTTAAAGCCACACAACGATTTTCATGCACGCTGGTCCCATCACAGTTTCGAAAAATGCTAAATATGTAGTTCGAATTATGGGTGTGGCTTTACAATTCTGCACCGCTAAAAAAATGGTTTTTTACCTTTTTACCACTACGCGGTTACTTTTAAAGATACTAACATAAAAATTGGTACGTATAGGTAATTTTCATGTTGAACACGATTTCAATTGCGCGGCGCTGAAGTTCGGGAGTGGCCTTATAGTTCTGCAACGCATTGTATATGTTTTGAAATTATCCAGTTCAGAACGTTTATTATTATGAATCTTCATAAACCATTTATGGATTGACTCAATTATTAAGCTGACAAATAAATAACGAAACAATACGAACAGTTGAGAATAAGTAAGAAAGTTGCGCATTTCAATTAATTTTTAATTTTTTCCATAACTTTATAGACACACCATTGGTATTTATCGTCAACTTTCAGTTTTCGAGCCGCAATATTTACTCCTTTGCTGCAATCGTATGGTAACTTTTCGAAGTTGTCCGTCTAAAATTTTAAATGCAAAAAAAAATTTACAAGAAAATTACAATAAAGCCCATGTAGGAATGAAACGTCGTCGGATATTTATTTTCGGCGGAAGGTGCATTTCGTAGAAACACAGTAAGATGCACTTCGACTCCATTATCGATCGCAACTCCGTCGAAAAGCTTCGAAATGGTTCTTTTTACCTCCACGCAGCTCCAACGATTCTGCAAATTTGAATCTTACAATATACATATGCTATGTTTGACATTTCCTTGAATTTTCTAACGTCGATACATTCTCGCAAATCTACTCGCTTACAGAAAACTAAACAGAATAACCGGAAATGTACATAAAGAATAAAACCCGGATATGTTTTACCGAATATTTGAATTTGCCGATGAAAAATTGTCCCGCCTCCATTTTATCGTTTTTGCAGGAATAAAAAGAGTCTCTAAATATAGATTTTCGATTTAAATAAATAAATTCAAATTGGTTACTTGTGTTCATCGATGAGCCACAAATAACAAACATACACGTTCGGATCATTGGGCGACTTCTTTACATGCGTTACCAGCGCTCTTTTTTCCTAAAAATAATATTTTGAATTTTGAATACATGAAAAAAAAAACTTCTAATTTAGGAGCAGGAGCAGCAGGAAACCCAATGTTTTTGCCTTGATCGGGAGTAATACTAAGCTGAAACCAAAAAAAAAACTGTGCAAATACTATTGTAATTCTAATGTTTCGAAAAGGACGAATATCGGTTGGTTCGGCGGCTTTAGTTTCAACTAATTATTTCCCTGGTTATACCAAAATGGCCCGCTAGTTATCTCAATCGAAATCGCGTCCCCTGTCCGTCCCGATCGGTGGGGTTTATCCGGTACATTGTGTGGACCAATTCGGAATGGTTGCTGACAAAACATTAGTCAAGACCAATTTTGTATTTAAAACTTTTAGTAGAACACAAATTTTTTAATTTAAAAACATTAACCTCCGTTTGTTGGTTCATTATTCTCTGAGAAACTGTCGTCCGATTTTTAGTTTTCTTTTTTATAAAATTTTCTTCCATATTCTTAAATTTATAATTTTTAAGCAATTAAACAAAATCACACTACCTTGATTGCGGTCGAAATAGACCAGACGGAAAAATTGCCATTTTTACATACTTTCGGAATATGGCGAATAATTGAGATGGTATAGTTTCCTGGGTTTTTAATTAAACCATTCGAATCGCTAAAAGACTTGCATGAAGGTAGTTTTTGAAAATTGAAATCTATATACCGTAAATTTCCGAACAGTTTATCTTCGTAGCAATCATCGAAGTTGCTATCAATTTTTATATTAATATTTGAAATCTTAAAAATACACTTTTAAAATGTTATTGTTGGCATCAAACGACTTGACGAAATTAAAAAATTATTGGCAATATGCCAATGCGTCTCAAGCCAGCGAGAAGTACGTAAGACTACGTGTATTGCATTATAGTGTACGCGCATTTAAAATTCAGTCAACGAAAAATTTAAATCTGCACTGGTTTCACGAATTTGAAGGCTCCGCCTCTCTTCAGTCGTTTGACGCCGACAATATATATTCATTAGCAAACCGTGATCGACCGAGCTGATAAAGTGGTTGGAAACAGTGATTTCATAATACAATAGTTGCTCACTTCAAATAATGGAACATTCGAAGGTGGATGAACAAAGTATTTGTTGAAATCTTCATTACTGAAAAAAACAATAAGCTTTTGAAATGTTTAAGGAAAACTTTTACCTGAATTTCATTGTAACCCATGTTCCGATTTGAAGCGGCAATTTTGATATTAAAATGCCGTCGTGTCCTGGTGATGTTTCTTTACACCAGACATAATACTTCGTTGGCTTAATTTCAGAAACAATAATTCCAATGACTGGTATCGTTTTCTCATCTTTTTTTTCTTCGTTGTTCTTTGAATTTTCAGTAAGCATATTTAATTTCTTCGCAGTCGTTGTCGTCGAGTTCGACAAACTGCCTCTTTTCGAGACAATGTTGTTAATTGTCGATTCATTGATTGTACCTCCCCATTTCGTAGAAAATCCTACTCTCTCGGGTTCTTTTATGCTTCAAATTGAAGAAAATGGTTTTTAAAATACTGCGTAAAACTTACAGTCTCACATTTATTTTATATTTCTTATCAAGCATTTCGTTCCGAATTTGATTGTTAAGGCATACGACAATTCCGAAATGTTGTGTTGCAAACGCGTATTTCTTGCCATTCAAAATCAATTTGCCTTCGATGTTTTGAGCTATCGCTATATTTTTGTTAATAGTGAATTTAATAAGTTCGAATGTCGTTTTAGTTATTTTTGAATATTGATTTTCGAAAGATGAGTCGATATAGCAACATTGTCCCAAGTGAATATTGTTTGAAGCCAAAATTGAATGTGGTATTGTAAATTTTTTGTCGCCAATTAAATTAACAACAATCATGTTTTCACCATCTTTCATGGCCACAACAAACACTTCTTGGTTTGTGTGTGCAAAAGGACTCAGCATCTGAAATAATTTTTACAGAAATAGAAAATAAAAGCGTGAGAAACCAAGGCCTTTTTTATGACATCTTAAAACATTTTTTATATTTGTAGAAAAATCACAATAAACATGGTCTGGTATTTTTGTTTTTCAATGAGGGGATTATCGCAGTTAGTAGAACAATATTTATATAATACCGGTAGCAACAATAAATAATGACTAGATATCTAGTAAAATAATGAATCTTTCAATTTATCTGCTGATTTATGTGGCACACGTAAAAAGAGGGGAAACGACCGTAATTTGCTCAAAATTACAAAGGTTATCTGAACAACGAAAAAGACACCCGAACATTTGGATTCTGTGCGGAGGCGGAAAAATATCTTTCATGTTAAATTGATTTAAAATTGCGCCTCATCAAAAATGTACACCAGAAGAGAATTAAAATTTCTTATCAAAAAGAAAACGTTTTTTGATAAGATTCTATCATTCTTGGGATTCAGTTGATAATGATGACACAGCGGTGCTCGGTGATGTTGGGACTTCTTCCATCGGTTTTGAATTTTCTGCAAAACAACCTAGAAATCAGAAAGTAAAACTACAAACAAAAGACTAACCCGAACTCTGAACTGCAGTTTGAATATAGTGACCCGGAATGTAATGCGAAATAATTGTTGAAGGAACTAGGACTTGTGGCGGTGGTTGTGGAATATATTTATTGAGCTGTACCAAGACCCACGAAAACATCTATAAAAAACCACATATTAGTTACTATCTACATATATGAAGGAAGCTAGTAATTTGAAAAAAAAATCACGTCTTTATTGTCGTGGGCGGAAAAGTCAAGGCGTAAATTTAAATCAATTTTTTCAACATTCAAACATATTCGGTCCACGACAATCTTCAAACTGAACAAAAAAAAGAATTTTTAATAGTGCATAGCTGACATTCAGTGCGATGTGTGGTGTTTAAGGAGAATATTTCAGTTTTCAATCGCTTAAAATGAATTCCAATCACTGAATGACGACTATTCTCAATAGATGTCTGTTAAAAGTATTCTCAACATGTTAATTTAGCCATCTATTGAATATACCTCAGGGAGACCCGCATTTACCGTTTTCGTCGGATCATATAAAGCATTAGCTACTTTGACTCGTGTAATAATGATAACAATATCAACAAATGGCGGAATTCGATTTTGATTGAATAACTGAAACGGGTTTTGTTCAAATAATGCTAATAAAAAATCAACATACATTATGCTCATCAATAATCGTTGAAAACAGTTTTCCTCTCAAAATTGATCGTCCCAATTTGTCATTGTTTCCTGTGTACATTGCTTCTTCCAAAACCTAAAAAACAAATTTTCGTTCAAAGAATCAGATATAACATTACCATTAATCGATTCTTCTCAACCATGCACATACATCTCGGCGGTAATTTTTTGTATCGACTCAAACTCCATCGAAAACCATTTTTCGCAGTTTCATCGGCAATCGAAATCAGATGAACGTCAACTGTCAAGCCCAACTCAAACGGTGGATCATCTTGGAAAACAAAATGAACTGAAGAGTTACTAGATTAGAAAAAAAATGAGAAAAAAAACACTACCATTCGAATTTGTATCAAACACCCAAAGAATTCCACACTTTCTACCGAAATCGATTTTCTCAATCATTGCATTGAGATCCTAATTTCGAAATAAAGTTATTAACGCAAATTTAATAAACAAACCAGCGTTAGACCTTCTTGAGTTGGCCTCTGTCGCTTCTTGTTCATTTCGAACGAATTGTAGTTTTCTCGCCTTCCATTCGCACTGTTCATGCTAGTATTCGAGCCGAGTGGCTGACGATGTGAAGCATTTTGTCGTTCACCCGATATTACGCTGCATAGTTCGTAACTACCAAACGGTGCAACTTTTCTCATGCTAATTCGCTGCGTCTATAAATAAGTTGTTCATTTTCAACTAAAAAGTAGTACTATTACCGGAATCATTTCATCGGTTGATCTGAGAATCGTAGCAGCCATCACTTTCCAGCTAATTCCAAAGAGTTTTCGTGTATTATACGTTGTCCGTTCGATCACAATTTGCTGAGTTGCACCAGATCTATATTAGCATTTTATAGGGATGTCAAAAAACCACATGTCGCACGCATAATTCTAAGTTTTTTTCTTTTTCAAAACACTGACCGTAGGACGGATTTCTTATCCAGAACGAATCCAAAGTCTGGAATTTCGTAAATTGACTTGTGGTCGGTTCCTTTCACAATTGTCGCTGTTAATATTATCTTAAAATAGAAAAAGGCATCGTTAAGAATATTTGGCATACTCTCAGCGCTCTTCCAATTTGACAAATCGAAAATCCAATTGGACTCGAAATTGGCATATATTCTGTGATGAAAAAGCGATTGAGACCTTTTGGATTGGATAGTTTCGTCAAGTGTTCCCTTCTGCAAAAAAAATCATTTGTTGAATTGTGAAAATAAGAATTACGAAGTGTCGAAGTTTATCCATTGTCCAACAAACGGTTTCAAACCTTTAAAAACCTGATTTTTGTTTTTTTTTTTAAATTTGTTTTAAACCTATTGCTTGATTCACGATGTATTCGTCAGGTATTTTCGCCAAGTGATCAGTATCCGCTGTCAGACCAGGTGACCTATACTCATGGGCTTATTCATGCAAAAATAACATTTTTTAAATTACGCATTTTTCCAATGCGGGAATGTAAGAAATGCACATATAATGCAAAAAAATTAAAACTATTTATTTAGGCAATGCAGAGAAAATAAGAAAAGAAATAATGGATAAAATTGTTTATATTTTCTGCATTGCCTTTTTAATGAATAAATTCATTGGTTCGTTGCACTCTTAGCAAATAAATCGAACGTACCAAACACAAATCTGCATTTTTATATCACGAACTTCTACGAGAAATCCATAATGCCGTATTATGTCGTTCTTTTCGAACATATCCGAAATATCATCTCCTTTCTAAAATGACATGATGTAAAATGATAACCCATTTTAAAACTTTGTACTTTTCGCGAGTTTTTATTGCGAATAAAATCCATAAATTCTCGTATATCACCATCAATACACTCATTTACGTCGAGGCTTCAATTTTTGATTACAATTAGTAAATTACAATAACGATTTCTCCGTTCTAACCATCCATTGTCCACTTCGACGACTTCCCATTCACAACGGTGTGGTGTTTGAATAGCTTCTAGCTCGTTTAGCCTGAATAACCAATTTCGGGATTTGATTTTTATATTTCATTCCGAAATTCTCACCATTGAACCCAAACCCCAATATCTCTTCCTCGTTTCGAAATCAGATGAAAAAGAGATGTTTGGACTCCGACTTTGCCGAATTCATAAGAATTAAATTGCATGTTTGCTGTATCTGAGAGTGTAGAATACACCTGTAAATAATTTTAAAGTTTTAACTAAGTTTAGAACAAAGTCAGAAAGTAAATTAGTCTGAGACAAAATCGCTTCGTTCAAATTTTTATGAAACCCCTCCCTCTCCGAAAGTCATGTGTCGTCGACAATAAAAAAAATTGTAATTATCTCACCAATACCCTTCCATTTACAATTTTCGTCGGATGAGCTGAAACCACTAACGGCGAGCTATTAAACGAAGCAATGTTTCCTCCAGGATATAATCCAACAATTAACCAATCACCTATGTGAAAGTTCTAAACGATAACATTATTTTCTCCGGCAATTCAAGAAAAAGCATATACCTGCCAGTTGCGACTCAACGCGATTCGTATTACCTTGCATGTTTGAACAATCCATAATATAACACAGTCCACCGAAATTGATAAAACCAATGCTACTGATGAAGTGACGGTTGTAGTTTTCGCTAATCTTGGAATTGGTGGCTGATACGGTTTTCGTGGAGGATGAGATTTGGTGAATTTCTGTGTTTCTGGCGATGTGATTCCTTCGCTGGACTGTGGTGTTGAGGGAACATCAGGAGAAGATGACGACGGTGTATAATTCATTACCTACAAAAATGAACTGAAACTTGTCTCAATTTAACGATATATGATTACATTGCTTCATAGAGGTTGAAGTTATTTCAACACAGATTAATTTATAGCAATTCTTCTACTATTAGGTCGTGCTGTTACTATTTTCACTGACAAACCTTCGTGTTCCATTAGCGAAGTTAGTAAAATAAGCAAAAAATTTAATATATTTATGTAGCTGAATGTTTTTCGAGAAAACTCTAAAATATCCATTAAATTGATTTGGCCTAGGAATTTCGTTCCAAATTTTTCGGCCGTGTCGAATTTTTCGTTAAACTTGCAAATTTTTTTAGCAATTTCATTTCTTTTTAAGAAAATATCTTACAGATTTATGTAAAAGTGAGAAAAAATTTGTTCATCATCCTTTTAATATAAAATAAATGTACTATTTATAAACATTTGAGTCTTGTTGGCGCAATGAAAATTGATATATTTATAAATATTATATGAAAAGGAAATTAAAAAGCTTACTCATTTTATAAAAACGTTTCATTTTCGAATTCAGGACCATTTTTTTGTGTTGTGCGGATGCGAATCAACGAACAGCCATGAAAATGTGCACAGATAGGTTTTCAATGCAACTGAATTCGAAAATGTCACTGTCTTGTCATCAATTCATATGGGCTTCTCAGATATCGCACCAAAAATTTTAAACGGAGTGGTTACAAATTATTTGAGAGGGCGGAGACATTTGTTTTCACCACCGTTTCCCCGAATTCGAGGTATTTACGGAAAGATTTTTCGAGCAAAAAAAATAAATAAATAGTATAAAATAACATGGAAGAACTTAACTAGCGACCTATTCGGCGCAATGCAAAAATTCCTTTTTTAGAGTCAAACTTGAATAATTTTGCGTGGGTAAACATGACAAATTCGCTAATCTTGCAAAATTGAATAGATATGATTTTAAAAATTTTCAAAAAATGAAAAACTATAAAGGAAAACTGTGCGGCAAAATTGCAAATTACTGTGGCACAATAGCAAATTACTGTAGGAAAAGGCGGGCGAACGTGAGATTCGTTGAAACGTCGAGTGGAAATAAATGTCTCCGCCTCTCAAAAACACACACTCTCTCAAATACCGTTTTATCGGCTATTCACCCGCGTTTCACCGAAATCTCAATTCACTGCAATTTCTACATCCCGATTTGCTGAGATGTTTTTTTCGTTATTAATTTTTTAATGTTTATTTTCTCTAACTTGTTTATACGTTTTTAAGAATCTATGCAAAATAAACGAGCAGTTCTAAAAAAAAGTTTTCCCATGAATCCATTCTTAAATAATTTGCAATTAAATATTTATTCGCGGAAATAATTCATAAACTCTGAAATCGAGTTGGTATTATTCTTTCTTACCTTTTAAACATTAAAAAATTGAATATATTTTCGCGAATTATTGAAATTTGTTTCTTTTGTCATTTTTGATAAATTATAATGATCATTTATGTTCGTATAAATAAATATATGAACGGAACGCAATGTCCAATTTTTAATAACAACAATTAATAGGTTTTTTAAAAGTATATTTGAAACAATAGTCACTCGGTTTTTTTGCATTGTTTTTATTTTTATTTGTTATGTGAATTCAAGTGAGGGCAATATTCCCTTGGTGGATTTGAGGGCAATATTCCCTTGGTGGATTTGAGGGCAATATTCCCTTGGTGGATTTGAGGGCAATATTCCCTTGGTGGATATTGAAAATTTGGTTTTCGCAGATTGATAATATCAATAAAGCTTCAATTAGAGATAATTAAATAGAAAAAATTTCAATACAGAAAAATAATGTTTTTAAACTTTTTTCTGCATTTAAACATTTTTTCATAAAAATTTTTCACTACATATTCCATAAAACGGAAATTCAAATCTTCAACCAATTCCATTTTAAATTTATCCATCCACAACAATGTTATATATGTATAGTCGGCGTCCGGCGACTGCTGTACGCGGGTAGATTTACGGGAATGCGTCTTTCTCTTGGTCTCGCACGGACTAACAGGTTATTTCAAATTTTTTGGGTCGGTTCGATAACTTTTTAATCGAACGACATTAGAAATTCTAAGAAATGCCAAACTCATCAAGAAAAATGAAGCAGTTCACGTGAAAACAGCAAAATAAGCGCTCACACGTGGCGAGACCTTTTCAAGGTGCATGCGCGTAAATCTACCCGCGTACAGCAGTCGCTGGACGCCGACTATATTTGAAAAAAAAATAATTAAAAAATGTATGGGCCACGATCATCTCACAGATATAATTGATAGATAGCGACTCAGAAAACATTGATGTTTAACGAATTCGTCGTTATCAGTCTTTTTCGTCTTTTCTTCTAAAGATGAATGTTTCGTTGCTGTAATATTTGAATTTAACGCATTTTTCATGGGATTTACTTCTAGATTAATGAATACTGAGAATGGCGTTGTTGTCGGGACAAATTCAGATAAATCCTTATTTTTCATTGCATCTTGTCACGATGTAAGAATCTTTCGGAAATTCGTTTGAATTTTTACTTGTGTTTTCAGACTTTAATTTCATACAACAATTGCGATGAAGATGGAATTCCAATCACACTTGGGAGTTGTGTCAAATTCCAATCAGTGTATTGTTTTTTAAAGCTATTATAATCGGCGTCCGGCAACTGCCCGAACATGCGTATTTATGGTTTCGCCATAATTGTTATTTTAAAAATTTCGCATGAATTGTTTTTTTTTTCTGTTAAATTTCGCATTTCCTAGCGTCACTGAATCGAACAATTATCGAAATGAGTCCTAAAATGCGAAATAACTAACTAGTTTATCAACACGCGCAGCCGTGTACAGCCGACGCTGAACGTCTACTATGTACTATATCGCTGAAATATTATAGATTACAGACAACTTCCAAGAACTTCAAAGTATTTCTGTTCACGCAAAGCTATAAAGATTAGAAAATGCGAAAATTTCGTCTCGACCAAAATAATGCCTGGATTGCAAAGTTGTTCGGTAAGTAAGCAAACATTGAACATTAGATTTGAACTCGAATACTGTATATAACAAAAGTATTTATTTTGTAGATCGTATTATTCAATTATTTAAAATAGAACATCCAGTTAACCATTCTTTAAGATTTTTTGTCGTGTAATTGGATCAAGGGAGGAATACGTGAACGACGGCTATTATAGGGTGTTGCAAACTGATTTCTTGGAGGTATAATTATTGTTCATGCGTTAATATTCGAAGTGTTTTTAGAGAGTAATTGACGATTGGAAATTGACTCTACCGTTCGCAAAAGAAACTCTCATCGGAAGTAAAATTTATTGCCAAAGATGTAGAGATATGTGGCACGTATACGATATTGAGCTCAAGCGATCATCTGATGCTGTAAAAGTATGCATTAAAACATATTAAAATATTTTAAAAATATTTTACGACATTTTTGTTAGATTACCAAACCCAATAAAAATTTACGACGTCTGCAAGGATTAATTTGTACTGACGGAGCATTCACAAATAGAAAAGATGAACTCTATATTTGGGTGCCATTCAAAAACATGCGAGATGTTATGTTTCCGTCTTTTCTAAGGTATTTTGATTATGAATACAAAGAAAATTTCCAATTATGCAGATCAGATCGCCCGCGAAAAGATTTTATTGGACATTGGTTTTCTTTTACAGTCAATGATGCGAATTTTATGGATTACAGCTGTGAAATCGAAATGATTGATGATCTATTGCCTACACGGTTTATGTTTAATCGATGGCAGGTAGGAATACATCACAAATTTCGGTTATAGACTCCTCGCGAACTTTTTTTTCTTCATTTTTGTTTCAAATTGTCCGGACGAAGTAGTTGGCAAATTTCAGGTACAAGTTCCTTGCGAATTCAACGGCAAATTTTTAAACCATGATCTACCAATACTCTATAGTTCTGCTTGTGGAAATATCATCGACTTACATAATAAGCTCAAATTCTACAATCGCCTTCGACCTTTCAATGACAATGTTTGGGTCTTTGCAAAACTTTACTCTGCAGATTTCCGTTGGGCTGTTGCTGATAATCAAGATCAATGGGAAGAAAACCGAGAAATAAGGAGTTCCCGAGATTTTAATTATCCGGAAAACTCGCGGAGAAACGACTATGAGAGGTAAATTTTGAAGATTACCAAAAATTATTTCAAAAATTTTAAAGATCGCGTGGGTATTCTCCAGAACGTGAAAAGATGAATTCGGTGAAAAACAGAATAACAAAAAGTGAAGAGCGTGATTATTATGAAACGGATACAAACAGATATTCCGATTCTTCACGGTATATTTTTTTTTTTTTTGAAATCATAAAGATATTGAAATTTGTTTAATCTCCAAACAAATTTTTAAAGGAGCCTACGTGAACTACCTGAAGTAACTTCATATAATCTAAAACCTGAAAAATTTATGGAAAATCTGGAAAATCCAAGAAGAGATGGGCATTATGAAGCAAAAGCAACTCACCAGAGGTACGTTTAGAAACCTGTATATATTCGCAGAAATGGATACGAAACGTTAAAAATTTAATTCATCATGGCGTCGTCAGTTTTCGCGTGTCTACAATGTGTCTCGCTTGCAGCTGTCATTCTGATCTTTACACATTAACATTTTTATTTTCAGAAGGTCAAAATCAGTGGAACACCGAGCGTCTTCTGATTCACGCCGATATTCATCAGAAAGCAATTCCATAACCAGTAGCCGTTCAGTTTCTCCCGAATCTGTCGAAATCAAGGAATTAAGAAGGACATACGATTTTCTCAAAAAGAACTCTCTACCTGTTCCCGAAGAACTCACCAATCGGATTTCAGTAGAGATCCAAAGGAAGTTAAAGAAAGTATTGAAACCAAAGGTAGTTGCGAATTATTAAATATTATTTTTTCCCATTTTCAAGCCTTCTTCACGACATTCATCTAATGATGAAGGATTATCTTCAAAAAGCTATTCAACTTCGAACGGAATTACTGTGATCGAAGCACTGGAAAAATCAGTTCAAGAAAACAGAAAAGTTTTGCTCAAAAACGAGAATGAGCTAATTATGCTGGTTGCAGCTTATCAACCTGTTTCGGGAAATGCTTTCAAATCGAAAAGTGTGCGACTCGATGCGCAATTACAATTCCGAGCTCTTCAATGAAATAAACGATTTGATGTTTCGTTTATAAAAATAATTCAAGATACTCGTACGAATACAGTAGATGTTAGATATAAATCATTCTTGTATTGTATAAAAAGTTTATTTTCATACAAATAAAAAAATCAAAATCAGCTTACTTGTTTTTTATTCGTTTAAAGGTACACCCAAAACATATACATATTCAAATGAGCATCAAATGTTGTTAATGATTATTGTTTCAGAATGAATTGGGAAAGAGGCGTCATTGTTGGCGTCACCAAGAATGAACGAACATTATTCATTTCTTCATCACATGACGTATTGTTTTCCTTTTTTTTTGTAATTTATAAATTGTTTCAGATCGTTGTTTTGCATTCAAGAATGTTTGATATCTGTACACTCGAAATGGGTAGATGTCTGGAATTTAAAGCAAAGCATGATATATATATTAGACTTCGGATTTTTTCACATCGTAATTTCAGCAAACCAGATGAACTTTGTCGAGAGAGAGTTGTAGAGAATATTCGAAAATGTGCACAATTTGTCGAAACGATTCCTCGAACTGGAGTTAGGAATTGCGAAGTTTGACAAATTGTGTTTTTTTCTCGTTCACAAAGTTCATTTCGTTACAGATAATTTGTGAGATTGTTGATGTTCGAAAAGAAATTCACGAAAACGTAAAAATGAATGTTTTTACAACTAATTTTCTCGAGGTTTTGCTGCACTGCTTCGCTCTATCCAACCCATTTCTAACAAAGTTCAGGATGTTCTGGATACATTAAACATCACATCGTTTTTACCTGAAGCAGACCTCATTGGTATGAGAATTGTGTGTCGTCGTTATTGTTCTACAGCGACAAATGAAAATCAATGGTATGTGTACAACATGCGACAAAAGAAGCAGGACGGCAACAATGAGTCGGTGAGACAACATTTTGATATTATTTTTTTCAAATTATTTTTGAATAATTTTTACGTTTTCATATCTCAGAAAAAACGTGCCTCTTCATGCTCCTCTCCTGATTGTTTTTTTTTTAATTTTTGAATCGAAACAAACTTTTGAAGTCGAATTTAATAACTTTCAAAAATAAACTAACAGCAAAAAATCATTTAAAAGGAAGCATTAAAAATGGGTGCTAAAATCGGCTGGGAAGCAAAAAGTGGTGCCAAAAATCATTAGTTTCGGCGGAATGGTGTTTGAGAAAGTGTGGGGTTATGAGAGACGGAGCATTTCTTTCCACTCAACGTTTCCCCGAAGGTCTTTTCCTCCGTCGTTTCTACGTCACCATCAGTCTCAATACTTTTTATCGTTATATCAATGATGATTTAATTTCATTGCTGTTTCTTTGGCTTTTTTGCTGCTAAGTATTTTTTAATGTTTTTTATTGTAAAGACCTATACTTTATTCAGTTATTTTTTTGTGGTCCTGCCCAGACTAACCACTTACTTTGCATTCTAGAGTTCATTTTCATAATGGATATTATTTTACAAAAATTTAAAGAAATTATATTATATTTGCATTTTTTTACATCCCTTGTTAGAAATATGTGTAATTCTTCACATTGTTTTATTGTATTAATAGGTCCACAATATTTATTGTCAGTGTTACACGGCTCGCCGCAACCCACAAATGCCTAGAAAAATTGATTGACACTTACAAAAAAACAACAATGCAAGTGCGGCGCCCTATCACAGGCTAATTTTTAAAATGTAGAAATTTATGCTTAGCCGCATGCCTCTTTTTCTTCTATGAAGTTGTTCGGCAAACCGTAGTCAAACGACTGAAAGAAATTCAAAAAAAAATATTGGTCACGTGCCATGGGGTTTCGAGGCAAAGAGGCGTTCGCGTGTTTGCGTACTCTGCATTTTAGTGTACGCGCAGGTAATAATTATCGAGATATAGTCGGCGTCCGGCGACTGCTGTACGCGGGTAGATTTACGGGAATGCGTCTTTCTCTTGGTCTCGCACGGACTAACAGGTTATTTCAAATTTTTTGGGTCGGTTCGATAATTTTTTAATCGAACGACATTAGAAATTCTAAGAAATGCCAAACTCATCAAGAAAAATGAAGCAGTTCACGTGAAAACAGCAAAATAAGCATTCACGCTTGGCGAGACCTTTTCAAGGTGCATGCGTGTAAATCTACCCGCGTACAGCAGTCGCCGGACGCCGACTATATTTGAAAAAAAAATAATTAAAAAATGTATGGGCCACGATCATCTCACAGATATAATTGATAGATAGCGACTCAGAAAACATTGATGTTTAACGAATTCGTCGTTATCAGTCTTTTTCGTCTTTTCTTCTAAAGATGAATGTTTCGTTGCTGTAATATTTGAATTTAACGCATTTTTCATGGGATTTACTTCTAGATTAATGAATACTGAGAATGGCGTTGTTGTCGGGACAAATTCAGATAAATCCTTATTTTTCATTGCATCTTGTCACGATGTAAGAATCTTTCGGAAATTCGTTTGAATTTTTACTTGAAGAGTCCAATTAGAGACTCGCGAAATTGAATTTCCCGCTACCAATCAGTCATTTGACGCAGCCTTCAAATTCGCGAAATCCGTGTAAATTTATCTTTGACTGAATATTAAATGCGTGTACGCTATAATGCAATGTACCACAGTCTCGCGTACTTCTCGCTTCCTCGACACGCGTTTGTCGAGGGAACGCCTATAGGCGTATTATATATATATATATATATATATATATATGACTTGAATATATATATATGACTATATATATATATATGACTTATATATATGACTTATATATATGACTATATATATATATGACTTGAATATGGAATTCTTATAGGGAGATCGAGATTTGTTGGATACTGAATCGAAACCTGCCATGATTCGGCCGGAATCCAATAAGGATGAAACTAGAAAACGATTCGAAGGATTTATCTGTTCGTCGGGTGTTTTGCGAAATGGACGCGACGATTTATTTATTTCTGTCGCTTACGAGGACATTCCGGACGTATTATTTCCGTCATATTTGAGGTTTTATAAAAAAATGAAAATTTTTTAACAGAAACATTTTCGTAGATCCGATAAAGATAGAAGGTGGTACGTAGGAAAATGGGTCAGCTTCTATCTTAATCGTACAGGCGTGTTAGACTCGTTCAGTGATGTTCGAATAATTCGAGATGTCTGGGATACGAGATATTGCGACGGTCTGTGGGAGGTTTCGGAATATTTTAATTGAATTATTGATTGAATTATTGAAAAATGTTCAGGTCAAAGTGCCGTGTAATTTTGAAAGGATGCGCTGGAATAATATGTACAAACTGAACAGTGAAGTTTTTGGTGACATCATTGATGTTGATAATGTTTTAGGTAAATGTTAAATTTTACTTTTTATATACTATTTTAAATTCTTCTATTAAGATAATTACAATTTGAGCTCGGATGATTATGAAGGACTTGTTTGGATCAGAAATAGTCTAATAAGTTCAGAAAGAAATTTCCGCTGGAAGATTTCTAATTATCAAGATCACTGGAATTTAAATCGTAAGAGGATTATTTAAAAAAAAAAAAAAACATTGTCATTTCATTTAAAACGATATTATAGAAACTGAAAATGTTTCATCGAATCTCCATGAAAAACAATCTATGATTGAAGAGAATATCACTATTCCACCAACAGTCGAAGAGAAAGAATCTATGCGATCAATAAACGACACTAGAAGAAAGTTTGTTTTGTATTTTTTTCTTTAATCAATATTTTTGTTTGAGGTCAATAATTATTGAAGAATATTCCATTGAGGATGATTCGCGCTCATTGAGAAACAATCGTACTAAAATTAGGTATTTGATTAAACCTTTAACCAATTGAAATTTGATTAGTTTAGTTCCGATGATGAATCTTCCGAGGCGGAGTTGGATATGAATTTCGAAAGAAACATGAAAGAAATGAGGAAAAAAACTTCGCCATTAGTAACGAAAAATGAGGAAAACAGATTTGATGTTGATAACGAGGAAGAAATTAAACAACTTGAAATAGAGTACGACACTCTGGTAAAATATAATTTACCAGTACCCGAAGAACTTAAAAAACGATGGGCCAAAGCAATGAAAGAGAAAATCAAAAAATCTTATGAGATAGAAAAGGTTTTTGAAAAACCATTCTAAACTCTTAATATATAAAAACAGAAAATTTTCAGAACAAGAGTTTACTCGTAAAACGACAAAATGCGCGAATTCAAACTCTTGAAGAAGACATAAAGAATCAAAAAAGGGTAATTTTTCGATTGTTTAAAAATTCTGCAGAAAAACCATCAAATGTTTATGATGTTTTTAAATTGAAGAAATATAAAATAATGGCATTTACTCTTGGAATTTTTAGGGGCAGTCTTTAAAAGTATAAAATTATGAACGAAAATAGATAAGAAATCGAAAAAATTAAATTAAAATATCTAAAATTCTACGTTAATTCACATCGGAAAAATCCTTTGAGAAATAAACAACGTGTGTATTGTCGTCAAATAAAATGCATAGTCCGCAATGATTTCAATTTCACTAATTTTCAATATTCCTGCACAATTTTCATTGGTACTCATCTCTGTGACCTCGAAACACCAAATATTGGGCATACAAAATTCTCAATTACGTGAAAATTAAACACGATGTCTTTAAAAGTGCCCGCGTCGTGATTAAAAGTCGTTATTTCAAGAGGTTGTCCTCGTTAATTTTGTATTAATTTTTGGGCAGTTCGTTCTGCTTCGTCCCTAGGTTGCCAATCGTGCCGACGTCCACCGAAGAGGAAGACTGGAAAAAGGCGAACTGCCCAAAAATTCTTGATTTGACGCGACGCATCGCTCTTTCTCACCGAGGTTCAATTTTGGTATAGACGTCATTTTTCTAATAAGCAACATAGAAATATAAGGAATTGATGTCGAACAACGTTTATTCTACTTGTTTACTATTTCTTGCATTTTATAATGATTAATAAATATATCTTCAGATTATCGCTTTATTTCGGGATATGCTCACTAGTCCAGCCGTGTGTAAATCAATGACCGAATATGACAATGAAGCGTTCCGAGAAATAAGTAAAATTCTTTTCTAGCCATCACGAAGAGTTCATGAAATAATTTAATCTTTCCATAAAATATTTCACCTATGTACTTGCGTAAAAGAATCATTCATGTATATTTGCAACCAATTTTAATTTTGTTAATTGAATTGCTTTAGGCATAGCTCGTTACTAGACCGATAATAATTCGGTTGTAATACTTTTTTAAAAACTTTTTTAAAACTAATTTTCATTGCCTCATATATTATATTTAATAAAATATTTTAAAAATCAATGAGTTTTATTAGCAATAAATTGTTCGTTTTATCGCGCACCATCTTCATCCACTTGTTTCCGCATAATTAACAACAATTTGAGTGGACGCGCAAGTCGAGAGACTCCTGTCTTCGAAAAGCGCCAAAATCCCGGCCATATGCTCATTCACAACCCATTTCCGGGACCCTCCCCGGTTGTCGCTGCTCTCTTTTTGCTCTCGAAATTCTTTTCATTTCGGTCTCCAGCCACCATCCATTTCGAGTTTCACGTTTTTCTTTGTTGCGATGCGCGTTGTTTGTTTTTAATCAAAATTGCAACTATACGCTGCTCATGGAAGGCGAATCTTCTATATTTTTATGGTCCCCATGGGAACTTTTAGTGAGAAGTGAGCCAAAGCAGAACAACCCATACACATGCACACTAGTTGATTTATAGGCACTTGGTGACACTTTTTAAACGTTGGACAAGTGAAAATTCCACTTGATACTTTCGCCCATTTCAAGTACATTTTGCCTTTTTTGTTTTGATTCGTTCCCAAGAGAATATTTTCAAAAATTTAAATTTGTCTCGTTGAGTTTTCGTAAATTTAGATACTTTCGAATGTGAAAAAATCGGCAATCGCTGGAGGTCAATTACATTGGGTTTTTTCTTTTGAAATTATTTATTTTAGTCTTACAGTCATGCATGATTATATGAAAAGAAAAGTTTTTTTTTCATTTTGACACAAAATAGAACTTGTATTCTTCTTTTTTCAATATTACCATTTGAAATTTTTCGAAATTTTTTATTGACGAAGTATACACCTAGGTGAAATGCACACACTGAATGCTGAAACTTCTGAAATTTTTTTAGCATTTAGGCTAAAGAAAGGTTTTCGCAGTCACATTTTTGCCTTGTGATTTGTCCGAAAATTTTATGACAAAGAAAACGAAAGAACGCTTTTTCATACAAATTTATATAATATTTCATCTCACATATATTTATAACGTTTATTTTCGAATTCCTTTGAGGAGGATTTCAATTTTGCAGCGTATATCCCCTCATATGTTGCGAGAGGCCGTCTTGCTAATTACTCAATTTTAATTATCAGACAACTCATTTTCAACGTCGAAAATAGACGGAACAAAATGTTGACTTTTCTTCGGCAAGTTTGTTGCACACCTTTTATAACAATCATTCAACATTTGAAATGGGTGCACTCACTCGAGCGCGTTCAACTTATCGATTTTGACGGCGTCGAGAGGGCCGACTTTGCCTTGTTCGTTTTGAACACATTTCGAATCATGGCAAATCATGATGATGATGATGATGAAGCACACCACACATAGGCATACACACACACACACACGCGCGCACATGCATTCGCATGCGTAATTTGCATATTGGTGGTGAGAACGGCGGCGACATTTGGCGAGTTGCCAGCGGCTTATATGAATATGTTCATCTCAGCTTCTCGTCACTTATTTTGTCGCACTCTGCGCATTCCTTTCTCGTCTAACTTTTGAATATACAATTTCAATTTTTGTCGCTTCCAAAAGGTTTTTCAACCTTTCGTTTGATGGTTTTTCACACATTTTTTGAGACATTTCGAATGCGAATTCTTGCCAATTTGTATTCATCATATGCGCATATTTCAACATCTTTTTTTCTGAATGATTTTAAATTTTTTATTTTCATTAAAAGTATGTTGATAATTTCTTTTCTTTTTGCTGCGTTCTAGAATGGGAATAATCCTCAAAAATGTGTATTTTTGAGTTTTTAATTATTTTTCTTATTTTTGAGTAATTCATAATTGTATTTCTCATTGTATCATAACTCAAATGCTCGTCCAATTATAATCAGGCGCATCATTTATATACTATGCATATTTATATAAATCCTAATGATGTTATTTCAATTATCTAAAAGTATGTTTCCCTTAATTATATATGGAAATTCCATTTTCCAATTCTCAATAAACTTTTCGTTATCTTTCTTCAGACGATTTAATTAAATTTCGTTTGGATTTTTGGTTGTGAGAGTAATTTCCGCCTATTCGTGAATCGATATTCTTCTGAATTCTGAAACGATCTGAGTGGCGTTGAATTTGGGAAATTGAATCTCGAAATTAAAAAATTTCCTGGCAATACATTTTAAAAATTTAATTATCATAACCTCATACGCAAAACTCATTAGATGCGAATATTAATTTTGTGGCCCTTTTATGAACCATAATCCTCCTTCATAACCCGCCTCATTTCATTACAACGTATATGTCGTTGTCTATTACTTTCTTGAATAATTAACACTGATGTGGTTGCTGTCTCGAGTCGTGCCACTAATTATGTATAATGGTGTTCACCATGCAATTATGTGCAAATTCTTTGTGAGCTTTTGCCGTTTCATTCGACGCGAAATCCAAAGAGTTGCATTCATTAAGCACTTATGATCGCACTGCTCGCGCATTTATTACCAACGGAATGCGTTGTGTTTTCTGTTTTCAAAAGTCGGTCAGGTCTTGGCGCGGATGCTCGCTAATGTTGCAACATGCATACACCACAAGACACTCGCAAAATTTTAATTAAACAAACAATTTGCGGACGGGGTGGCATGCCGACTTGGCGAATCACCTCCGGCCCTCTTGAAACACTTCGACTCAACAACTTTTCTTTTCATTTTGTCAGTTCTTCATCGTTTTGTTTGCTATGTCTTCAAACTAGTATTCGAATGTTCTTTATTGTTTCAAACATGTTAAGAATTAAAATTTCGATGAAAATGAAATATGAAATTCCCCTCAAGCAAATTCTCATTTTAATCGAATGTATTATTTTTCATAAAGAAAATATAAATTCAAATATATATATATATATATATATATATATATATATATATATATATATATATATATATATATATATATATATATATATATATATATATATATATATATATATATATATATATGCTAAGCATTTTGAATGGGCGGCTTATTTGTATGTTTGCGAAAAAAGAGTTTCAAATTTCCTTTTTCATAATTTATGGTAGGGATTATTTAGTTTAAACAAAAAAGTGCAGGCGGTCACATTTGTTTGAAACTAGAAGATTATTCCAAAGTGTCCAATATAGTTCGTTTCGCATTTTAAAGTTGATCTGTTGTATTTTCATTTATTATATCACTAATAAACATCTCTATCAATAACTATTTTCCACAAAAGTGGAATTTCGAGAAATAAAAACAAATCCAGCTTATATAAAAAATACATGCTTTCACCCAGATCCTCGGAAAATTAAGAATTACTCAAAAAATATTTAAAAAGCATATTTCATTTAAAATATCAGTGTTACATAAAACACTCAGAAATGAGAAACGTGCGAGAATTGTGTTATGTGGATGTTGTCAATGCTCCAATGCTCATGCACTTATATGGCAGAGCAAAAAAATAACAACACGCATTTTTGCCTCACATAAACATAAATGCTGTTTACATTCCCATGCTTTTTGTTTTCATTTCCAAAATAGGAAACCATCGCGCAACGACGAAAATCATTCGTCCACGTTTTTTCCCATCCTCGTCTTCCTCCTCGTGTTCGTCCCGCCTCAATTTCCGCTGGTTTCTATTTACATTTCGAATCATCCAATTTTCAAGAATCTCGTTCATTCCCACCATATTTCCATACTACCCATATTTTATAGTTTATCGCCAATTTTTATTAATCGCAAATATGTAACTACGAGAATTTGTTCTTCTACGAATGTCATGCCGACAATGTTTTTTCTTTTGTTAAATTGATTTTCGTGGAATGTGCCTGATTGAAACATTTGATTCGGCTCAATTGTGTTCTTTTCCGAAACATTGCAAATATTCTTGGTGCAAGTGGCATCTCTTGTCAGACACACAACACTTTGCTTCTTTTTTATTTCGAGGGTAACATTTTGGAATAAGTGTATATTCAAAAATCAAATCTCATTTTTAATTCAGAATTTGACGATAGAATGTAGCACGTTTCCCTCCAAAAAATGTTGGCACTACAATTTTGGCACCACAAATCAAGACCTTGCAGCTCATATGGTTTAGGTTTATAGCATTTTGAAAAAAAATAAACGAAAGCACACGCTAACTGCAAGGCCTCTGGCGACATACGTGTGTGTGTGTGTACATAGAATAAAAACGGTAGCCGTTTTTTTTTGGAAACAGATTACTGTATTTTACAAGTCGCACGACAACGACAAAAATTTGTCTTGGAATGTAGATTTTCGGGCTTAAGAGTAAGGATAAGTTAAAGGCACATACCGCACTAGCCAGGCATTCACCGAAATGTTTTTGGCATTTATGTAGTCAATTTTCCATACTCGAGCGGCGTAGACAATATTTACGAATAAAAAATATTGAGTGATTCGGTCAGAACGAACCGCGAATTGGTTTAGGATAACCGGCGAAATATTTTGGCCAAAATAGAGAAAAAATTTAATTAGTCGAAACAAAAGTCGCCCAATACGCTAAATTGAGGGCGATGTGTAATTGGAGTGTCGTACTGGTACGATAAAAGTTTTGGGACAATCCGCGGGTTTTTGGGAACTCCCGTGAAACCCCAATGTTTAAACCAAACGCGGTTCGTGTTTTTCGAATCTCTGAGTATATATACAGTCTGGTTGAAAAAGGAACATCCACAAAATCTAGATCCACAAACTAGATGACTTAATAATGGTATCTACAAGTCAACTTAATTATATATCTGCAAATATATTTTTTCGAATTTATATATTGGAAGAAACGAAATTTGAAACGAAATTCAAATATTATTAGAAAAAAACATAAATCAGATAAGTTTTCTAGGCTGGATTTACAAATGCAAAAAAATCCGTAAACAACTTGTCCTAACTTTACAGACATTTGCCGCATTTTTAATTTGAAATTAAAATTTGAATTCAATTTTCCATTATTCGCATTTAAGGCCAAAAAGGGAAACGCGTATGAAATTCCCACGCTGGTTGGTTGCGTTCTGCCTATTGACAATGAGAATAAAGCCTTGCGTTCTTCGTTTTATTGTTCTATTGAACAATTCGAATTGCACCTGCTCGAACTTTCGCAACTGCTCGAACTTTTTTTTTCAAATATAATCGATATCTTGCATCTGCCATCACTAATCCATTTCATTTTTCACTTCCATCTCAATTTGTCATCGATACTTCTTCATAAATTATTGGCGCAGGCGCCTCAGGCATCATAAAAACCTCTCGACACATAAAAATTATGCGTTAAGGTGCCAGTTGTCCACCGGTTGGCCATAAATTCAATCTTTGAGCCGCCGCTGGTTCGGTCTTCCTACTGATTATTGCAATAAATAAACACCAGCGGATGCACTTGTTTCAAATTTTATTCAACCGCCGAGTAGAACCTGTCATGACAGCTGTCACAACTTATTTTCATCGCAAAAATCAGTGTGTGAATGCATCGTATTGCACATCGCGCCCCTCGATACACGTGTTTCAACACCACCCTCATCATTGGCGTTTTTTTTTTTTGAAACTTTCCTCACACGTTTCGTACACACATTTTGCGGCGAACGCGAATCAGATTTGTGTGTGTGTTTTTTTAGCCGAGCCCTCATATATCTTCATTTTTCGTTCTCTTAGAAGTATCGTGATATTATTGAAAAGATGTTCAGCTTCCTATGGGATCAGTGGACTCCAAGGGGGCACTCATCAATCTTCCAGTGGGCAAAAAGTTTGTCGATCAGTTTTTAAAAACGCATTCACTTTTTTTTCATTTTTATGACTTTTTCATTCGAGAAATATTTTTGAAAAGAGAATATGTGAACTTTTTTTCTTGCTTTTCAGAAAAAAAAATGTTGTGGACTCAAAACGATGTTCCAATATTTGAAGCACATGATTAGAATTTCTTGTGAACACCAGCATACCCCGTAAATACTTGTGGGGATACTAGAAAAACGCTTGCTCTTCTCTTTTTCGTCACAATTTGCGCTTTGTGAGTGCCTTACTCTCAAATTCGTGTTCAACGCATTCTTCTTCTTCTTCGTTTTTTCTTCTTTTTCGTGTTTTTTGTTTGCGTCTGTTCATCAAGAGTTCGTGTGCCAGCATTTCGAACAACTTTCCTTATTTGATCCATTTCGTTTCGTTTTAAAATTTTTGATGAGATTTCAGGGTAGAGCCGAGCCAAGAAGCCTCCTCGATCGCCGCCGTCCATCCACAACCGAATAACTCAATGTAAATAGTAGAATGATGATGTCTGGACTAATTCAAGAGCCGATGGAGCCGATACCCGAAGAAGGCACAGATGTCGACGGATCTGAATGGGGCACATCGGAAGGAGGCACCGCACGGCGGACATTGAGAAAAAAGGAAGTGTACACTTCGGAGCAGATAAGTACACTTGTAAGGTATGCGTCAATTTTTTATTTGTAGTTACTATTAGTATACGGTCTTTGGAAATGCGCGGCAGCCAAACCGTCCATTCATCCGTGACCAGGTCACAAATACACGTCCACGGTTTTGGATTTCATTAATTATCCGTACATGGCTTCCAATGTTTTTGCCACTTATTATTGGTGAAAATCTGAGTAATTCATTTCGATTTATTCTAGAACAGATATTTCGAATATCTATTTAGCTCAGAGATTAAATGCGAATCCTTTAAAATTTCGTTTATTTTTTCAAAATCTACCCGTATTTATTTATTCTTTAAACCGGCTGTACGCGAAAGTTATAGTTTGCCTCGTATTGAGCTCGTAAAAAACGTTGACCCTTGTTAGTCTTATCGCCATTTTACAACTCGTGTGGAGGAGTGTTATGGCACCTCTTGTGTGAATCATTGACAAACAATATAATAACGCATAAAACAATATGAAGGAATATGCGTGTGCGCGAGCGAGTGTCATTCGAGCAAGAAGAAAAAACAACGGACTGTTGGCAATACGCCAACGCACTTTTCTCTGTTCCGTACTGCCGCTGCACCCTAATAAATAATGGTGCGCCTGTCTGTCCGGTAATCTGGTCTCTGGTCTCTGCGCTGTCATTCCGATTTCGCCTTATTTCGCGCCGTCGCATTTTTTTGCTTACGCTGTGTCGCCGCGCGCACGCGGCTCCTCACACTGTTCGATTTCCGGAAAAGGAATTTCGAACGAATTTCTCATCAATTAGCTGCTGTTGACACATGCATTTCGAAGCGGGTTTCCTTTTGTCATCAGCCACCATCTTTCGGAACAGAACAAAATGCTAAGGATTTAGAATAACACGCAATTAAGAATTATAAAATGAATGTGTTCGTGATATTATCGCTCATTATCCAATTAGATCGATTCATTTAATTCCTAATATGTGATTGAAATAAAACGGAAATGGTTCATATCGTATTTCGAACAATTTTATTCATATCGGCTTTGCTAATCGAGGCAATATGCTAAAATACTTAATAATTTCCTTAGTATGATATGATTCATTGACATTTGTCTACAGTTTTACTATTGAGAACAGGCAAATTATGCGAATAAGGTAGCTTTTTATAAATATTATCGGCATATTTTGCAATATACTTGAATATTTCGGTTGGTTATCTTATCAGTGTTGAGCATGTGTTTGACCTCGTCATCAACATGTGTTTTGAGCATCTGCTGCGCACACAATATTTTTTTATAACCTATTTCATCTCGTTTTTTGCAGTACTGTTCCGAAAGAAGCTGTTCCTGTTGAGTGGATTGTTGAGAATCAAGTTGTGGATCCAGAGTAAGTCTTACTTTTTTGAATCACTTAAGGCAGAAAAATTAACTTCAATTGAAATTAAACCCTACTATGATGAAAAAATGGTGGTATTACAATTTGTTTTTTTTTTCTAATTTGTTTTCCATATGGATACATTCGTACCCATATTGTGTGCAGGATTGAATATTTAACCGAAAACTAAATAATTTAAATTTCACGGCATTCAAGAACAAATGGTGACTTACCTATCACACGTTAAAAAAGTTCAATAACGAAAAACAGATTTTAACGAATAAGCAAAATTTTTATTCATTTTATTCATAAGTTAATTTTGATCTATTGAAAAAAAAACTGAATTTTGGCGCGTGAGAGGTTATTTCAATGAATTTTTCAATCGAATTTTTCAAGTTCAAATTTAATTTTTCGCTTGAATATAAATACCGTATAATGTATTTATTTTACTTAAATCCGATATTTCTTATATGGTTCCTGCGTTTTAAATGTTTGTTGCCTGAAAATATAGACCAAAAGAATGTGTAGTTCAAAAGATGAACATCATATTGCGTGAATTGCATCGAATAAATTCAGAATGGCCACTTCGTACTTGACCGAATCACTAGCGGGTCCGAATAGTGCTCGCGGCTCATCCTATTCATATTCATACGAATCACATTACGACAATCTTCCGGAAGAAGAATATGAGCAAATAACGAACTCGGAAGGTGTACAGCAAACGCAAAAGGTTCGTGCCGAATGAATTTCTCGTCATATCAATTGTGTCGTCGTCGTTTTCTCCGATTAACAACAACAAAAATGATGTGTTTCGCGCGCCCGTTTTCTTTCGTTTTTTTTTTTGCTGATTTTATTTCGTCGTCCGTCCGTACGGTCACTGTCTTTTTTTTTTCTTCTCGCAATCACATATTGCCGCCGTCAAACGCGCCCGACACACAACTTTATATTTTGCGATTTCTAGGCATTGTTTTGTGTTGTTGTCGTTTCCGCAGTCGTAGGCGTTTATTTATTTATTTTTTCATGTTCGTAAATTTCAGGTTACTCGAGTGACGAAAGTAACGACGACACGATCCGTGCGTCAGATACCCGTCACTTCACCGTACGCCAACATCGATTTCGATTCGAGCGGTCTTCCGACGCCATCGCCGGTGGTTGATCGCGACGGAAACATGGACTATTTGGGGATGAGGTTTAGTGCAATTTTGAAAATAAATGGAAATTTGCAAAATTGCGTTTCAAATATAAATTATTAGAGAAACTAGAACTTTTCAATTTCGAAATTTCTTTGTTCAGTTTTAGTAAAAAGTTTTTTTTGGCGTTATCATTACATTTTGTTCAATCAATTTACTTCCTTCATATCCCGCAATCCGGATATTAGTGTGTCTCAATGTTGGGCGTTTTTCGTTTCATTAGAAATATTCCGAAATTTGCTATTTTGAGAATTCAAATTTAATTGTCAAAAACATTAAAAATGAATAGAAAGTTGTAGGTTGCATGATGTCGATAGTGAAGATCGAGCAGCTCCGCCACCAGCACCACCACTAGGAAGTCGATACAAATCGAATCATGAAGGTATATTAATAAATATGATAAATATTGTAGGCATTCGACTATTTATAAAAAAAAGGATATAAAAAATAAATTCAAATTTGAAATCGATTGAAAATTCCAAAAAAAAAAATAAATATGTATTAGGTTCGATATATATGGTGTTATTAAAAATGTATATAATATTCAAGCATAGTTCAAGAAATTTTTTAACTATTAATTTCAGAGAGTGGAACTCCATCAGCTCCAGGTGTTCCAGACATTGTCGAAACCGGAATCGGCGAAGTCACCGTCGTGTGGAGTCCACCGCTTCATAAACCGGGCGATGCCGATGTCCTCGGCTACCAGGTAATTTAATTGCGAAAATGCGTCTAACAAATTACTGACGATTTCACATTTTCAGCTTCAAATGAGAGAATTGCCACACGGCGATTGGGAAGACATGGGAGTCGACCAACTCATCAGAGACACGTCATGTCGAGGTATGAGTGGGCGCGTGTTCGCATTGTACATATACAGTTTCGGCGCCTAAATTAGTGGTAGTAGTGTGAATAGTATGTCTCCAGAAGCCATTAATCAATTCCTCAATCCGCGATTCTGACGGTGGTGTCGCCTCTGCGCGTCTTTGACCTTGTCGTCGCGCCTCCCCGCCGGGAGGCAAATCAAGGTGTTCGCCATCCTATACTCTTCGAATACTAATACGAACACAAGATTGTAATCTCATTTATTTTGATCGTTTCCGCCATTGGATAACTATTTTTTTTGGTTGTCGCCTCGATTTTTTCAAAAGTTATTTCATATTTATTGGATCGCACGTTTAATGTTGGCGATGCCGCAAAAATCGTAAATTGTAGATACACGGGTCATTTAATGGCCAATTTTTATTATTCGTCGCCTCATGATTGTGAATGTCTGCGTTGTCAGTGTTTTTCTTTCCCTTAGCGTCACATACATGATTTATATGGGTATTTAGATTTTCTCACCAGATTATTCGGATTATATTTGGCGTCCTCGACATCTTCCGTTTTGACCAGATGGCTTACCGGAAACTGTCGAAACCCAAATTGGGCAGTTTCGAGATTTGTGAGAGACCAATATTTTATTTTTGCAAATAGGGACTCTTTGCATTAAACATTTTTTGACCAGAAGCAGATTAAAAAAATTTCTGCATTCTATATTTCGAAAATACAATTTCGTATAAATCAATTTGATGTTCGAGCTATGTTAATTCGAGAAACACTTTTGCCGCATGAATGCAGCAAAAGTCTCAAATTTCCGTTTTTGTTGCCCTCTCAACTCCGACTAATTCAGCGTTCGGCTTTGTTGTGGGCATCCCATTAAGGGCAGTTTCATTTCCCGCCGCTTTCACTTGGTTGTAGCTCGTCACCAATACAATAATAATAGATGAAAAGATTAGAATCTTCCACCTCTTCCACCATTTTCTCGTCCTCTTCGTTGATGACAATTTCTCGCACCGCTGCACCGCGCACCGTCGTGCAATTCGAAGCGGACCGATAAAAATCGCCGCACGTTATTGCATCATTCGTATGAATCCCGATTCTTTCATTCCACGCCTTCATTCCAAACTAACCCCAAAATGATTATCAAACGAATATTTGAAAGAAATTCTGAATATTCTGAAGAAGAAGGTGTATCTTTTTTTTATTCCCTCATTATAAATGTTGGTTTATCTCGATTTTTCAGTTACCAATTTGACATCTCAAGAAGTTCAATTCCGAGTTTCGGCATACGGTCGAAGTGGATTTGGGCCAGCATCGAACGCATCCCTTCCCGTCAAAATTCCGATTAGCGAAGAAGAAATCGCATCATGTAAGTTCAATTTCTTTTGATGAAGTGTCAATCAGCGAACCCTGTAATTAATTTTATTTCAAGGCTGAATAAACTAAAATTTAATGGCTTTGCGCATTTTTATTGTTAGTCGTATTCATATTGCCGACAGTAGTGGATATCATCTCTACATATAATTTTTTGCAAAATTCAATACTTTTGAAAACTCGCACCAAAATAAGTAAGAATTCTGTGGAAAACCAGTTTTTTAGCTGCCGGTGCGCCTCTGGCTCCTGGTAAACCAGCAGTTATCGCAGTCGACGGACAAGGTGCCCTTATTGAATGGTCCGCGCCGGTTGCCGATGTCAATTCGTCACCGCCACAAGGATATCAAGTAGGGCAAACGTAAAAAATTGTTGATTGTTATTTATTTGTTGTTCCAGATTGAATATCGTGTTTATGGTAGTAGAGATTGGATGGTTGCGAATGAGAACATTGTCACCGACACTATGTTCACTGTCGAGAACTTGCGACCTAATGGCGTCTACGAATTTCGAGTTCGCGGCAAAAACGCTGACGGCCTCGGACAGCCAAGCATGAGTTCTGGAGCAGTGGCGATCAAACCCGCCGCTCCACAAAGATCGATCCCCGCGCGGCCGGTGTCTTCAAATATTCAACCGCCAGGACAACCGCAAATGGTAGAAGCAGGAGATGATTGGGTAAAACTCGAATGGTCGCCGTCAACAGAGGCCGCCGGCTATGTCGTTGAATATCGAGAAGTCGGAGATCCGATTTGGCATACCGCCAACTATGATCCGATTGCGCAGAACGGCATTCAAGGTAATCATCTCAAATTGTATTGTTTGTTTAACAAATCCTTTCTTTTCTTAGTCGAAGGCCTACGTCGTAATTCAACATACGAGTTCTGTGTGATTGCCGTCGTTGAGGGAATGTCGTCAGTGCCTTCGGAAACGTCAGATGTAATTCATCTACGACCAATGGGTCGCGCATCTAGTCTACGCGGACCTCCGGAAATGACTCAGGCGCCAGAGTTCTTTGAAGTTGACGGTGACAAGATTACGATTTGTTGGTTACCAGCACATAGCAGTCTTCCTGTCATGGTACATTTCCTGAAAACGGAAGCAAGCCAATATTACTGATTTCAGGGATATGATGTTGAGTTTCGCGATGTTCAGCAAGACAATCGATGGTATAAAGTGAATGACCAACCAGTGTTCGCGTGCAAAATGACCGTCGGAGATTTGATCTACGATCACGACTACCAATTCCGAGTTCTTGCGCACAATGCGGCCGGATGTTCTCAGCCATCACCACCGTCGCCATTCGTGCACATTGAGCCGAGCAATGGGAGAATGAGTCATCAGGAAGCGCCGATCAAATACGTCGAGGCAGAACGATTCGGTGCTGTTCCGCTGCTTCAAGAGGAGATGGTCCGCGAATCGCCACCGCTTCCCGAACGCGATGATTCGCCTCCACCGCTTAGACGAACCAACAACAACGGTACTTGTGAGTGGTTTGGCTTCTTTTGATTTGCTTCTATTCTAATTTTCATCAGCGCATTTTTTGCTTAATGTTTGAGTGATTTTGACAAATGAATAATCATTTTGCGAGTTTAATGCCTCAATTTCAGTGCAATGGCGCGATCCTTCTCTAAAAGAGGTCATTGAGTACTTGTCTTCTCCCGATAAGGATAAACAATTGAATGCCAGTGGATATTTGCAACATTTGACTTTTAGTGACAATTTGATCAAAGATGAGACTCGGTGAGTAGAGTTGAAAATTTTAAATATTTGCAAAATTATAGAGAATATGGTGGAATTCCGAAACTCGTTGCTCTTCTGAAAAGTGATGATACGAGAATTCAGAAGAACGCATGCGCTTGTCTTAAAAATCTGTGTTTCGGAAAAGAGAACGACGCGAATAAAATGGCTGTGCTTGATGCAGATGGTGTTAAACGACTTTCTGAAGTTCTTCGCGCCACTTACGATGCATCTGTGAAGGAAGAAGCAACTGCCGCTTTGTGGAATCTATCGTCTTCTGACATGCTGAAACCATTTATTCTCGAATCAGCAACAGATGTTTTGTGTCAACAGGTGGCGATCCCGCAACCGACGAGTCAAAACGGAAATGCTAACGGGCATACGAATGGAATTGATCCAATGAAGCATTATAATACGACGCTGTTCAAGAATTCCACCGGAGTATTACGGTAATTCGTGCATATTATGTATGTTACACAATTGATTTCCTATTCAGAAACATATCCGCTGCTACGCAACAAGCTCGACGACGCTTACGAGATGTTCCGAATCTTATCGAGGCTTTAGTTCATTTCCTGACACACGCCATTCAAAGAAACCAAGTTGATTCGCCGACAGTGGAAAATGTTGTTTGTGTGCTCAGGAATCTCAGCTATAGGATTCAAGAAGTAGTAGATCCGAATTATGATCCTTCGACGGCTCACTTGAATTACAAATCAAGCAAACACTCATTGGCGAGCCCGAAACCGAAAAAGAAGGATAAGAAGAAAGATGGAATGAATCCGAAGAACTTAGTGTCTGGAGCTGCAATTCTTTGGCAACCGCACGTCGTCAAGCTCTACTTGAAACTCCTTCAAGATGCTTCTAATATAGATACTCTTGAAGCATCAGCAGGAGCAATTCAAAATCTAGCCGCTTGCCAGTTCCCACCGTCGGCAGAAGTTCGAGCAGCGGTCCGCGTAGAGAAGGGATTGCCGGTTCTTGTCGAACTCATACGTCTTCCTGAAGATTTCGTAGTGTGCGCGGTGGCAACTGCGTTGCGAAATTTGTCGATTGACCCACGAAACCGGGAACTCATTGGGAAGTACGCTCTTCGTGATCTCCTTGACAAATTACCGGAGCCTGGAGCAAGACGGCCGCCGATTTCCGATCAGACGATTGGAGCCGTTCTTGGAATTCTTTTTGAAGTTGTTCGAAGTAGTGCAAATTATACAAAGGACCTTCATGAATATAAAGGTACATAATGAAATTTTAGATTTTTTTTTTCAAAGAATGCATTCCTTCAGGCACTGACAAACTCCGAGCCCTGTCTCGCGCATATCCGACTTATTCGCATAGAGTTTGCAAATATGCCAGTCAAGTGTTATACGTGATGTGGCAGCACAAAGAATTACACGACGGCTTCAGACGGAGCGGATTGAAAGAATCCGACTTTTATTCTGGAACAGCCAAAAGGTATTTCCTGACTTGAAATTGATTAGTCTAAATTTGATTGAATTCCAGAGGCGACTCTTCCACATTGGCTCGCCCAATATCTTCGCAAGGCCGAGAACGACCTATCGCCCCTGCTACGAATCTCGACGACACCTATAGCAGCGGAGGATATGGCAGTGTTCCAGATGGGCGTACAGCTAATGCGCGACCGACGTCGGCAACATCACAAACTATTCAGAGACGATATGACCAACCACCTAGAGAGCCCATGTACGCATCAGTTAGAAAAGGAAATTCGCCAAAGGGCGTTGATGATAGTTGGGTTTAGATTATGATTCCTGTACTTTGAAATTCACTTTCCTATTTTTTTTAAATTATCTTTTTGCGTTGTCAAATTTCTTCATCTGTTCTCCGTTATACCGGTATGTTATATATGTATGAAACGATTTGACCCAGTTTCACTTTCTTTTTTTCTTTTTCATGTCCGATTCTTTTTTTTGTCTGAAAACAGCATACAGTAGATACAATAATTCCTCAATCATCCAATTCTTTCTGAATTCTAATTATCTTTCAATCAATTATTATTTTAATGCCTGAATTATAGACATGTTAGATAATAAATTAATATTGAGATCAGCGATATGAGAGACATGCAAATAAGCGGCACCCGTATTGAAACAAAACAACATTTAATAATTCGGTCGAGCAGGACGATTTGGGCCGAATAAACCGTAGAGATATGGATTGACTACCGAGTTTAGAATTATGAATTGATGTGCGAAATGGAACTAAAATGTTTAAAAAAATAAATTGTCTGAAAATCAAATTGCACAATTACCTGATTAATATGATTCTCGAATAGTTTTGAATCGACTATATGGATTAAACTAATCAAATTGTATGGCAGCCAGCAGACGATATAAGCGACGACTAGAAGGGAAACACGAAGGGCACGACTTCTGAATTATTCATTTTAAAATCGTTTTCTTTTCGTATTTTCTCAATCACTTGAATTTAAATAATCTTAGTCTTATTATTCAAAACATTATTTTTAGATTGGCTTATTTTAAATAATGATTTTTTGAAACGAATCGAGTCTTCTTCCAAACCTATTGAGATTTGCAGTGTATGACGAGCTAGTGTGTACTCCATTTCGCATCACTGCCGATGCTTCAGAAGGCGACAATGATGGCCGCTGATTCAACGGCACTTCGGTCTCGTCGGAAACAATGATTTTGGCAGTGGCTACAACATTTCGAGCGTTGCTGGGCAGCCATCGAATTCGTTTACCGATCGCCTTCTCAAGCGGCTCTTTGACGCTGACGTGCCGCGAGAAACTCTTCAAAGGATTCCATTCAGAAGCACGCGAGAGCACTGTATCTACCGTGTCGCATCCTGATATCGTGTTTGCGCCGCTCAAACACGTCGTACGAATCGACGGCCGCGAATTCATCCAAACCCACGAAAGAACAACGATGTAACTCAGCTGAAAGAAGCGATTTCGAAGTGTTACGCGAGAATTGATTCGATATTTTAAGCATTTACACAAAAAATGTTTCAGTTTTTTTCCCATTTTGTTGTCTGCCACAAAATGTTTTTTTTTTCTTGTTCCATTTTCTCCCATTCCAAAATGAGTTATGATTATTCGGTGCCCTTTTCCGCTCTAATGAGAGAGGAAAAAAGCGAGCGAAAATAATTGGTGTCGACGAACCAAAATAACGACGGCTGGAATCCAAAAGACGAAGCAAATGTGAAGCACACTGTACCAAGTTTCAGCATCGAAATCGATTTTCGCCGTCGTATTCGTATGACGAGCAATTTCCCAAATCTGGAAGCACTATTCAAATGAGGAATGGGAATCGATGATTCACCTGCAAACACTGACTCCAATTGTATTCGGGAATTGCCAAATAATCTTGCCATATAAAAAGTTGTGGACAACTAATAATGAAAGCGATAACCCAAGCTGAATGTTTTCGATAATATTCGAATTGGAGTCACAAAAAATCACCTGCAATCAACATCATTTTCGTTCGACGGACCGCTCGATTCGGAAGATGATGTGAGGTTGAGACGACTGATAAAAACCTATCGACTGCGATGCAAACGATCACATTGGATGACGACTGAAATCACGAATCAAAAATCTGAGAATGACTCGGCAATATTACCTGAAATGCCAGATTGTGCATCATTTTGACAATTTTGCACAACAAATCTCCTCCTCGCCAATCATACGTCAATAGCCAACATGCTCTTGATGGTACGTAAATGAATAAAATGAGAAGGTCCGAATAGTTTAATGATCGTTTCAGAAGATCTAATCGTGTCGAAATGGGACGCTCATGAAGCTGAAAATCGCTTTTATTTCTGATGAATCGCACATTGTCAACTTGCCAATTTAATTGCTCAGAAATTTTAAAGACTTTGAAATGTTGCCATTTTGCCAACTATTTCTATTTTTGCACATAATTATTTGATTGTTTGTTTGTTTGTAAAAATAAGCTTGCAATTTCATATCCGTTTTGCAATTCATGAAACATTTCCCCCCGAAAATGTTTTGCCACTATCACATGCATGACAAATTTAGTGACGAGAATGTCCGCAGAGTCTAATGAATTACACTGATTTTGCACTGAATTCGAGTGTTTTTCAACCGCAAAAACGACGTGAGCATTTTCAGGCAAGTAAACATGTTGGGCGACGACATGAGCATGAACAAACTGCTAGTGGTTGTTTCGGAAACAAGATAAACGCGAGTTCTCATTTTGTATTTCGCTTGTGTGGTGCCAAACTCCGCCATTTGGCAATTGGGAAACCTTCAGGTTTCTTTTTTTGATGGCAAATTTTGAGCGTTTGTGTTCCTCATCTGATCAACGACGACAATTTCTATTGAAACTCGTAATATTATAATGAAGGTTTATCCGAAATTAGAAAAAAAATGGAGGATTAAATTGAATGGATCTCAAAATTCGGAAACAACGAACCTGTGTAAATGCTCCTAGATTGAGCGGTGCTCCGATGATGAACATGAAAACGAGTGTGAGCATTTCGACATAATCGGAAGTGATTGGTTCCGGCGGTTTTCCGATGTCGTCGACGAGTTCCGACGAGCTCGGACTCTCGCTCATATTACCCAATAGCATTATCTGAAAGAGAACAAAAATAAGTGAATCAGTAAGTGGGCGGAGCCTGAAGGCATCCATAAAAGGACGGCAAAAATGAGGAGTTGAGTTAGGCGGAGTGCACCGAAAAAGAACACGAAGTCGCCGAGAGAAAATTGGAGAAGATCGAGTTGTTTTTGAATTGGCGCTCGAAAAAAAAAGGACGGATAAAAACATTATGGGCTCAAGTCACACATAGGCAAACAAAAAGTGGAATGAATATGACATTTTTGTCGTTTATAAACGTTTTTGTTCGGTCAAAGGACGAGACGGACGGCAACAACAACTCAGGAAATGCTCGAACGTGAATTATTCAAAATGACTCCTTGCTAGTCAATGAAGTTCAAGCAAATCCGATGCTCTCATTCATCGAGTTTTTAAACACGTTGAAAAATGACACATCGGAAACAATTTCGAGTGATAAAGGGGGCTTAAAAGTGCCTAATCATATGATTTCCAGTTATTTTGTTTTCCAATGAGAAGCCCGTTCAGAACCACAAATAAGTTTTTATTAATAATAGGATTCCTGTGAGAGAATGCGTACGAATGCGAGGGAAAACAGAAAAAAAAAAGAAATGCGTTCTCGGAAAATATGATTTATTGAAGATATTCGCATAGAATCCTCAAAATTAGTTTAAAATTTTCAGATAATTGGAAAAAACCGAAAATTTCTTGTAATTTTGTTTGAAAATAGGGAGAATCTTTTTTATTGGTATTTTTTTGAAAATGTCATCAATTTACTAGAGCTAAACGTGCTGATTCTGTTTAGACGCTTCTTTTCAATTAATTAGGAAGAAGAATTGCTTGAAATTAAGACGAATGTAAGAAGGAATGGTTTAAATGACGAATGAATTGTCGATGAATTGGATTGTGCAAAGAAAAAGTTTGTTTTAATTAACGCCCACAAGGAAGAGATAAAAAATTGAGAAAAAAATAAATAATGAAAACCTACAAAATGGCTGAAGCTGATTTCGGGAATATATGAGAACAATTGGAATTTGAAAAATCAGAGGTGCGTGAGAAAAATATGAAATTCGGCCAATGAGAGGGGTTTTTGATCGGCAAATCTTTGAGAAATCCCAATTAATATCCTTTTGTTTTGATGAATGCGTCATTCATTTTAATAAGTTTGTCTGTCGTGTTTGGTTCAAAAAAAGAAACTCGGAAGAATCGAATCGAAGAAGGAAACGAGTTGATTCAAGAGAGAAAAAGAGAGAGAGAGAGAGAGAGAGAGGGAGGAGAGAAAGTCAAGTTTATAATCAACTTCTGCCTAAATTATATTTTTTTGACAATTTCAAACTTGTGTAAATTTAATGTTTTTTTATTTTTCCAATTATGGGCAAATTGTTGAATGCAATTCCAGATTCAGGTCAACTGTTTGAGTAAATTATAATTTGGCAACAATCATATGGAAATAATTTTGATTTCTTTTCCTCAAAGTGGTTGAATTGAATTAAAAACATCAATAGAGTCAGAAGACGGGCGAATTAGTGAGTGAAACTCGAAAAGAGTCTCCTTCTCAGCTAATTGTTTTATTTTCTGCGCACCAAATTGCGTAATTTTAATGCCAAGTTTCGCGAGAGCAAAAAAAAATCAAATTTGTGGTATGCGTGTCTAATATAACACTAGAGTTTAGCTGAAACGGCATTTTCATAAATATAATTTATGTTTTGGATTTACATCGAAATCGAATTTGTCGACAAGATTGGAATCGTTCGAAGAAATCATTCGTCTTCTATTCACCATTGCAGATGATTTTTGCGCATTGCTCCGCCCAAACATTCCGTGTCTCATGAATATTTGAATAGTGGCATGCCTTTTTCGGACACATTTCAACACCTTTTGCTTCCTAATTTGGAGATACCATTTTTTGATCTTAGCGCGAACTCAACATATTTATGAATTCGCCTTCAATACCTACCGTAGTTTTGAAGGTTGCATCAAATTAAAAATAATTACAAGAGCAAATTACATGCTCCCCACAAGCTAAGGATCGAACATGGTTCCCACAAGCAAAAGACCGAAAATGGTCCCCACAAGCTAAGGATCGAAAATGGTCCCCACAAGCTAAGAACCGAACATCTTGGAATGCTATGATTTTCGTCTCAACAGGCGAATGACTATCTGATCGACTAAGTAGCTGATTAAGTTTGTAAGAAATTAAGCAATGTCTCCAAAATAAATTCGTCGGTCCATACCAATATCAATATTTTGTCCAAAATTGTCCACAAGTTCGAGAAACACCAAAACACCCCGATTTCAATGTTCAACATTTCTGTTTTGGCTTTCAGAGCGTCTATTTCGAAATGTTTAGAAGCAACAAAATTATTTGGGAAACCGAATAAAAATTTGCACCACCGTATATGCATTGGTGTCGGAATGAATATTCATGACACAACCGCATAAACTCATATTCTAATAATATTCTTGAATAAATTAATTCCATTTTCGATGAAGACGCCTAGAATTACAGTGTTGGTGATAAGGAGATGTTGGAGAATTATTGATGAAAAAGGCATCAATAATTCAGTTAATGGTCTTGTCACGAAATGCTTATTAATGGAGGAACCGAAAAATTTATCTGAATATCAAATTGAGACCAACACTTCGATGCTTTTGCTCATTAAACTGATTATTCAGCTGATGTCAAACACAAAATCATTTTGACCATTCTTCCCACACTTTTTGATCTCTCGTGAACCTTGGACGCTATCTTTCTCAAGCTCCGATCTGAATTTTGACGTCTTCGTTCACTGATGACATTGACTCGATCCGGTATCACAGAAGATCGCTTTCTTTTTCTTCCGAGACGACTAGAGAGTCTTTTTTTTCACGTCGATTTTTGCAGTGCGATGGATGAATCAGCTGCCAATTCTGTCATACGAACGGAATTTCCATGAAACTTTCAAAAAAAGATTAAAAGGTCAAAAATAAAATTTAAAAAATAAAAAAAGAAAAAAATGAATAAGTGGGGTATAGGCTTGCGTTAAACTAGTGCACACGTAACTTTGCCGTACCCTGCATTATTGTCGAAGTCGAGCGACGGTCAACTGTGGAATTGGGTCTCGCAACATTAGTGTCGATATAGGTGCGGGGAGATTTACGCCACGTTATCAAGCGACCTATTGTTCGTGTGGAGTACACAGCGCGCGTCTCGTCGTCTCAAGACCATTCCGATGTTTTAACAATTTGTCGCATTTGCGTGATTTCGACGTACATTCTCAAAATACTTTGACTCGCAGTTTATCCGTGGTACGGTAATCTCTTCCGACTTCCGCGTTCCGTTTCCGTGTTCCGTCCAAAAAAATGTGTTCCGTGTTGCGTTTTCTGAATTCCGTAAAAAAATAGTATTCCGACTTCAGTATTCCGTGTTCCGCTTGATATACCTAGCACGTCTAGCGAATCTAATAAGGTTAAAAACCACAGCCGAAGAAATTTGTTCGACAAAAAGAAGGTCCCTGTCGAATGAGCACTTGGAACATCTCACATTCGGCACTGTTAATTTCAAAATATTCGAGTTAGATTAACTTTGTGTTCCGTGTTCCGTTTTCCGTTAAAATTTTTTCCGCTTTCCGTCTTCCGTCTTCCGCTTTTAGAAAATTTAAGTTCCGTGCAGCTCTGGTCCACAGTTATTCAAGGAAAATTATAATAATCAATGTGAAATCGAACGAAACGATGATTTTCGAAGAGACATTCATTTCGAAGTCTCTTTTTCATATAACACCAACGAAATAGTAATTGAAAAAAAAAAACAAGTCGAATGACGTTATTGAACACACTTTTGACAAGAAATTGAAATTAGAATTGCAAAAAATAAGCGAAATTCCGAGGAAGTTTCATTTTTGCGAAAAATGGACGGAAAACAATTTGTTAGCAAACATTAATAATGAAATGAATGAGATGCGGCGACCGGACGAAGAAATGAATTGCGCATTTTCGATTTGTTTCTAGAAATTAGTCATCCCATAAAAGGGTAAGCTCAAGGGAATGAGGTCAACTCAATTATTGAATAACCCATGATTGATAGACAACGTTGAATATCAAAAATCGCTACAAATTTGAATCACGCAAAATTTGATGGCAAACAAGGATTTCATTTCGAGTGCATTGCGTGTCGATTCGAACATGAATATTGGACAATAAAAAATTTGACATCGTAAAGAAGTCCTCCAAAAATATCCAGTGGGGTTCGTAAATCAATTTGTTTTACAGTTCTTGATGGTGAGTTTTTTGGCGGGGAAAAACACCTTAGATTGTTGGTGTGAAACATTTCAAGTAAAAGGGGAATTCACCCAAAAGAGGGAACAAAAATCATCAATACGGACTAATTAGGTGCAAAATAACGGAAAAACATGAATTGAAAAGAAAATTGCTCATATTTTTGTGAAATAAACACGAGTTTTGAAATTTCGAATTGTTCGCTCGTGTTTTTTTTTTTGACAGCAAAATGTGCGGAGGATTCAAAACTTGGCACGAACAGCCAAAAATGTCATAAAATCGTAAAAACCAGGCATTTACCAAAAACCAATCGGATTTCTCATAAATGTTTCAATGTCCATTTCCGGACGACATAGACAAAAAGAATGGACAAAATCAGAGGAACACTGCGGATTCGGGCATGTGTGTGTGTATACAAGATTAAAAAAAAAAAGCAGGAAAATTTAATGAAAAATTGGATATGAGAGGTTTTGAAGAGCTCACAGCGATGACTTCATATAGCATAGGCAAATATCGGTTGGACAATTTCAAAAATGAATGCAAAACAAAAATATCTCATCCGTTTCCAGACGAGCCGCGCATATCTGACAACAATTTGAATTTGAAAAGTCAAATGAATCGAAAACATCGCAAATATCCATGCGTGTCTGAGACGATTTTTGGCAAAAAAAACCAAAAAGTTGAATCGAATAATTATAGTTAATTATCTTAGATATTGCTCTGCAAACTGCGTTTTCTTACATTCAAAACTTCCAAATTTTATA